AAATATCCAATTAAAATCCTACAGTCTCAATCTGGATTAAGAAAATAAGACTCGATATAGGCTGCTTGAGCTTCCCAGGTGGCTCAGTGGGTAAAGAACCTGCCTGCAATGCAGGAGAGGCAGGAGACTTGGTTGGGTTCGATCCCTGGGTTGGGAAGATCTCCTGGAGGAAGGGTATGACAATTCACTCAAGTATCCTTGCCTAGAGAATCCCATGGACAGAGAAGCCTCAAGGGCTACAGTCCATGGGGTTTCAAAGAGTCAGACACAACTGAAGCAACAGCATACACCCACGCATGGTATTCTTACTGAGTCACATGCCTCAGTTTCTTTTTAAAAAGGGCTTCCCTGGAAGCTCAGCTGGTAAAGAATCTGCCTGCAATGCAGGAGACCCAGGTTCAATTCCTGGGTTAAGAAGATCCTCTGGAGAAGGGATAGGCCACCCACTCCAGGATTCTTGGGCTTTCCTGGTGGCTCAGATGGTAAAGAATCTGCCTGCAATACGGGAGAGGTGGGTTCAATCCCTGGGTTGAGAAGACCCCCTGGAGAAGGGAACAGCTACCCACTCCAGTTTTCCTTCCTGGAGAATTCCATTGACAGAGGAGTCTGGCGGGCTACAGTCCATGGGGTCTCAAAGAGTCGGACACAACTGAGTGACTTTTCACTTTTTCTATGCTGTTTACAATAATACACTTTTAAAAGAAATGCAGGGGCTTCTCTGTGGTTCGGTGGTTATGAATCCACGTGCCAGTGCAGGGGACACAGGTTCCACCCCTGGTCTGGGAAGACCCCACGTGCGTGGGCAACTAAGCCCAAGCACCACGACAAGAGAAGCCACTACAACGAGAAGCCTGCCCACAGCAACTGGAGAGTAGCCTCCGTTTGTCACAACTAGCAAAAGCCAGCAGCAGTGAAGACCCAGCACAGTCAAAAATAAATAAATCTTTAAAAAATAAAATAAATGGACAGTGAGGAATTCCCTGGTGACCCAGTGGTTAGGATTGGGCGCTTTCACTGCAGAAGGCCAAGGTTCCATTCCTGGTCAGGGAACTAAGATCCTGCAAGCTGCCAATGTTTTAAAAAAAATTTTAATTTAAAAATAAACCAAAACTGGGCTTCCCTGCTGGCTCAGTGGTAAATAATCTGCCTGCCAATGCAGGAGACACAGGTTCAATCCCTGATCCGGGAAGATCCCACGTGCCGAGCAGCCATGAAAACAGCGCACCACAACTACTGAGCCTGGGCTCTAGAGCCTCAGAGCCACGACTACTGAAGCCCACACACCCCAGGGCCTGAGCTCCAAAACAGTGTGGACGCACACAATGAGAAGCCCGAGCGTCATAACCGAGAGCGGCCCCTGCTCACCACAGCTGGAGAAAAGCCTGCACAGCGACGAAGACCCAGCACAGCCAAAAATAATAAAGTTTTAAAAAATTAAAAAACAAAAGAAATGGATACCAAATCAGTTAGTTTGGGAAAGTCAAGAATGAGAAGAAAGAGCAAAGAGGCACTTCAGCATGCTCGGGGTACTTCTGTACTGACTATAACGCAGTGTGACTTGTTCATTCATTACTTGTATTAAAAGGCTGGCAACAACCCAAAGCCCTTCAACGAGTGAACGGATAAACTGTAGTCCATCCACACTGCAGACCACACCTCCATAAAAAGAGACACATTCGTGGTAGATGTAGCAACCTGGATGAATCTCAAATGCATTATGCTCAGTGGAAGAAGCCAGACTCAAAAGGCCCCACACTGTGTAAGCTCCTTTAACTGACATCCTGGAAAAAACACTAACACACACATAGGGGTCAGAGACTACTGAGCACTTAGGCAGGAGCTGACTACAGAGTGGCAGCACAAGGGAATTTTTGGGAGGGAAGGAACTTCTTTGTACTCTAACTACTGCGGAAATTAGACATCTGTCAAAATTCTCTGAATTCTATTCAAAAATAGTATTCAAAAATAGTATTCAAAAAAGTGAATACTATTACATAAACATTAAAAAAAAAAAAAAAGCTAAGTAAAATAACAAAGTGAGGATGTCCAAAGACCTTCCCTTTCGCTCAGAACATAAATGACTTTTAAAATTTATTTATATAATATGATAATGCACCAAAACAAGATAAAAATTTCTGTTGATTAGAAATAAAGCAGAAATCACAGAGGGGGTGGGCCTGAGATGACAGGTTCAAAGGATGCTCTACCCAGAAGAAAACTCTTAAGGGTCAGGGTCTTGACTTCTAAAGGCAACAGGTACTTGGTCCCTCTATAGGGGGCTCCTTAGCCCCGTTCCTCAGAGCCAGGCTCCAGAGGAAGATGTGCAGGTCACAGCCACCATCAGCTGCTCGCCCTCCTGGAGGAAGGGGGCAGATGCATCAGGCATTCACTGCCACACAATGGGAACATGGGACCTGGGGTGGGGGTGCGGGGGTATGTGCAGATCTGTTGGAGGGGGTGGGGCCTGCTGTGCAGAGAGAATGGCAACAAGAGAACTCAAAACAGAAGATGGATGACCCCTGTCCATCTGAAGGGCACCACACTGCCAGTGTGGGACATCCAGCTTCACACAAGGCCCTTGAATGTGAAATCCGGCAGCTGAATCCTTCCTTCAAGGGCCTCAAGAGCTCTTATTTTCCACTGGAGGAGTCAAATCCAGTTCTTTTCATTTCCGCCTACAAAACCCAACATCTACATCAAACCTCACCTCCTGCATAAGCTTCGCTCTACTAAGAAAAGCCAACTTTCCTCCTCTAACTTACAGCAGGTGAAGTCTATTCCTTAGCAACCCCTATAACTTTTAATACCCTTTAGGCCTAGGTCCCTACCAAATTAATCTGCTTTAGGAAAGAATTTGTTCATTAATTTACTTACTCAACATTTACTAAGTACGTACTCCATCAGACATAAACTGAAGCACTGTGTGTAGGAGAGTGAACAAAGCGTAGTTCCTGCCCCTAGGCTGGGGGTGAGGGGAGGGGGCAGTGAGGCAATGAACAAAACCGTAAGTGCCAGACCATCCGTGCAATGGCAAAGTCAGGGTAAGGGACAGGAGCGTGTGGGCGAGGACAAGGCCCTGGGTTACCCAGCAGCCTCTCCGAGGAGGTAACTTCTGAAAAGAGAACTGAGTAAGAAGCAGACCTGTGGCACGCAGGGACCTGATGTGTCAGGCAGAGCCGATGCGGGCCCAGGCAGGGTGTAGCTGGAGCCAGGTGACAACCAGTGGAGTGTCAGGACATGAAGTCACAGGGGCAGCAGGAACCTAGCCGCAAGGGGCTTCATAAACTGCCTTAGGGACTCTGGCTTTCTTTTCTGAGGGAGATGAGAAACCACGGAGGGCTCTGAACTAAGCGGTGCATCACGCAGATCTGTATTAAGAGTCAACTGCAGAGCAGCTCAGCTCAGGTGAGTAGAGAGCAGGGAGGTCACTGGAATAACCCAGGCAAGATGATGTAGCGGGCGTAAATGACAGCTGCACCCAAGAAGGCAGTGAGAAGCGCCAGGTCTGAGTGCCGACCAATCAAATTTGGTACCTGGAAGAAATGCAGAGACCACACAAGGAGCTCTGTCCTGAGCAATTGGAAGAAGGGAGTTACCTCTGACTGAGATGCAACAGGGTAACAGTAGATTACACACAAGTAAAAGCAGCTGTTTGGGATGGGAAGATCCAGCTAGGAGCTACACATTCCGGGAGTATTGACAAGTGGCCTAGCCATGACCTGGCATGAGATTACCCCAGGGTACAGACCAGATAGGAGGTGGGAGGACCGCTCCGAGGCAGTTAATTTGTAGCAGTTAGGCAGATGAGAAGGAGCCAGCAAGGAAGCTAGGGACAGCAGCCTTCAAGATAAAGGACAACCAACTGAGTTGTGTCCCAGTGCCACCAGGGGAGAGTGATTCAAGAAAGCCATGGGAGGCCTAACTAAAGGCTACCAACAGGGGCACTTGGCAATAGAGTGGTCCCTAACCCCAAGAGGAGCTGTTTCAGAGGAGAGGTGGGACCAGAAGCTTAGCCTGAACCATGTTCAAGAGAAATGAGAGAAAAGGAAATAGGAGTTCAGGATTCTTCCTAATTCTGGTATAAAAGGAAGCAAAGACCAAGAAAGGGTTTCCCTGGTAGCTCAGTGGTAAAGAATACACCTGCCAATGCAAGAGATGAGGGTTCAATTACGTGTTGAGAAGATCCCCTAAAGAAGGAAATGACAACCCACTCCAGTATTCTTGTCTGGGAAATCCCACAGAGAAGCCTGGAGGGCTACAGTTCAAGGGATTGCAAAAGAATCAGACAAGACTTAGCAACTAAACAAGAAGATCTGAAGATCTAGAAAAGGTAACGGTAGCTGGAGGATTTGTATATTGATGGAAACACTCTGGAGAGAAGATAAACTGAAGGTAAAACAAGAATATGAGAGTCACGGGCTGGAAAAGGCAAGAAGGGGTGGATCCAATACGAGAGATTAAACAGCCAATGGCTTACAGATATTGCCCTTCTAACAGCTACTGTTGTAGAAGATTTAATGGCACCTGATCATGCTAACTACATGTTTTCAAAATCACATAAAATTACACTGTACAATATCAATGGTAAAAAAAATTAAATGAAAAGGACAAGAGGCCACAAAGAAACTGTTAATTATGCTTATCTTTGGGTGGCTGAATGATTTAGTTTTAAGATGTATTTTTACTTTTTTTCCAATCACTCAGAAAGCATATTTCTATTTCATTGGTTCCAATAAAAAAGTCACAGAAACTATTTCATGGTACATATCACGTAAAAAAGAAAAATCCAATCCATCAGAAAACACAAATAAATGAAAAGAAAAAACGTATCTATAACGCCCTGGTTAAACACTACTAGCATCCCGCTCTATTATTTTTCTCTGATAAGCTGACGTCTGAGCGGAGATGCGGGTTGCAGATGTCTGAAGGAAGGTGAGTTCCGGGCAGGGCGGGCGGGCAGCGCAAAGGCCCGGGGGCGAAAAGGCTTCGCCACTTAAGGGATGCTAGTGGGCGACGGAGAGGAGCTGGAGGGAGCGGCGCAGGGGTTCCTGGACGATGGGTCTGACAAGCCTAACCCTGCGCGGAGCACCTCGCTCGAAGCAAAGTGGTGCGATTCCCATCCTGTGGAAGGAAGTCGAGCATCGAACCCGGAAAACCAGGTGAAAAGAAAGCCCCGGACCTAACTTTAACCCCGAGCAGAAAAAACAACGCGAGGCGCCCTGCTCACAGGGAGGAACGAGCCGGCAGGCAGTGAACCCGCAGCGCCCCCGGCCGCCGGCGACCCCCGTCACGACCCGCGGTCCCCGCACAGATTCAGTGCCGTCCCACAGCCAGCGCCACTCCGGGCCTCCCTCCTCGGCGCCCCGGGCCTCTGCCCGGGGGCTCCAGGGCGAACCGAGACCGGGGAGTGGGCCATCCAACCCGCAAGTCGGTCGGCCGCGCCACGCCCACACCTACCCCGGGTGTGGGCCGCGTTCCTCAGCTCTGGGGCTGGGTCTGGGGTCCGGGCCCAGACAGCGCCGTTCCGCTCGACACATCCGGGGCCGGCCGGAAGAAGCGGCGGTGCGGCTGCTACGGCGAGCCGGAAGGGACGCGCGCCGCGCGCTCGCAGCTGCGCGTTGGCGTGACGTCTGTGGAGCGGGAGGCGCCGAGGCGGTTGGGAGAGCTAGACCCGCAAGACGAGAGCGAGGGCTGATGGGCTGGCGGCGGAGCGGTCCCTGCTTTGTGGAGAGTGGAGGTTGCTATGAGGGCGCTGCGTAGACGACGGTGGGGGCATGCGTTCACTCCGGCCGGCCGAATCGCCTATTAAGCGCCGGCTCTAGGCTTGGGGAGGAGACCGCGGAAGCCTGTGGAGCCGCCTCTCCGAGAAGTAGGGTTGGCTGGGGCCGCCGCGGGTGGGGCGAGGGGCTGACAGCTGGGCGGGCCAAGGAGGAGAAAAGGCCAGTCCAGGGATGAGTGAGGAGGAGGTGCAGAAACGGGGCGGGAGCAGAGGCAGTCATGCCTCAGAAGCAAACAAAAGGACTCGGGGAGACCGGGTGTCCACCTGTAGCTAACTCTACTCAGCTTATTGGTTGCTCAAAGCCAATAAAGAGAGGCAAGAGTCGGGAGAGAGGGAAGGTGCTTTAATCAGAAAAATTGGCAATCGGAACTGCCAGTGGTTAAGAATCCATCTTGCAGTACAGAGGACACAGGTTCGATTCCTTCTCAGGCAACTAAGTCCGTGTACCGCAACTAGAGAGTCTGTGCAGGGTCACAAGAGAGGACAGAGATCCGGTGTGCTGTAACTAAGACCTAACACAACCAAAATAATTAATTAATTTTGGAAAAGAAATCTGGTGCTCTAGGCAGTAGGTGTTCTTATGTCCTGAGACCAACTCTGAAGGTTCTGCTCAATCTTGACAGTTTTTAAAGGGAAAAAGTGGAGAGAACCTCAGGGACCCCTTTCTGCGTCCTTTTTCTCCGCGTGCAGACTGTCTGGCTCTTCAGATATTGCCCGAATGATCTGCCCTCGGGGTTGCTGAGGGAGCCGCTGTGGGGAGATAACTAGTCATTCTTTTTTTTTTTAGAACTAGTCATTCTTTACTTCATTCTTCACTCTGACTTCTTTCAAAGTAGGACAGAATCAACATGTTAGGCACGGGCATAGTGGGCAATAAGGAGAGCACAAGTCAGGAGTTCGGTTAGGTTACCTAGTGATCTCATTCCTGTAATTAGGTTCTTTTAAGGTCAGAGGGGGACAGAAATGGGCCGACAGGACAGGGACAAAAGAGCTGCTTTCATAAAGAATGGAGTTGGATCCCAACCTCATGCTATATGCAAAACTGAAATAAAACTGGATCAAAGACCTAAATGTAAGTGCTAAAATTACAAAACTCTCAGAAAGTAACATAGATACAAATCTTCAGTATCAGAGATCAGGCAGTGGTTTTTTTATGACACCAAAAACAGAAGTAATAAAAACAATAGGTTGGACATCATCAAAATAAAAAACTTGTGCTTCAGATAACACCATTAAGAAAAGAAAACCCACAGAATGAGAGAAAATATTTGCAAATCATATACCAAATAAGGGACTTGTATCCAGAATACAGAACTTGCAACTAAATAATTAAAAGATGATTAATTCTAAAATGGGCAAAGGAATGGATAACAAGATCCTACTGTATACTACAGGGAATTATGTTCAATATCCTGTGACAAACCATCTTGGAAAAGAATATGAAAAAGATTTTATACACACACACACACACACACACACACACGTGTGTGTCCAACTCTTTGGGACCCCCATGGACTATAGCCTCCTAGCTCCTCTGTCCAAAAAAATTTTCTAGGCAAGAATACTGCAGTGGGTTGCCATTTTCTACTCCAGTGTATCTTCCCAACCCAGGGTTCGTACCCACTTCTGCATCTCTTGCATTGGTGACTGGTAGACTCTTCACCACTGTGCCACCTGGGAAGCCCATACTTGAAATAACTTAAACAGTGTAGATTTTGCAATACTTAATTTGAGCAGATGACATGAAACAGTATAGATCTTGTATACTAACTTGAACCACTTTTTTTTATTACATTATAAAAAGTACATGTTACCTTAGAAAAGTTAATCTATTTGCTGTTTTACTCTTTTGCAAAAACATTTGCTGTAATGAAGGAATTGTTTTTTCCAAAATGTACAAAATGCATTTTATAATATTTACTGCTTTATTCCTAATTCTGCTTTAAAGTATTGAACTGGGCATAAGACATTAAAATATTAATCCAGAACCTGTATAAACTGGATGTTGCTTAAAATCTGTATTACTACCATGTTAGAAATCCAGATTGCTTTTTGTGATGTTTCAAATTAAAAAAAATAATCCTCCTCTTTATCTCTCTATCTGTATATATAGTTTTATATATATATATATAAAGCTGAGTCACTTTGCTGTACAAAAGAAATTAACACAACATTGTAAATCAACTATACTTCAATTTAAAAAAATTTTAATGGGCAAAGGGCTTGAATACATGCCTCAAAAGAAGGTGTACAAATAAGCACATGAAAAGATGTTCAGCAACATTAGGGATCAGGGAAATATAAACCAAAACCACTAGGATGGCTTAAACCAGAGAGTCAGGTAACAAGTGTTTACAAGCCTATTGAAAAAATTAGAAACCTCATCTGCTGCTAGTCAGAATTTAAAATGATGCAGTCAGGGACTTCCCTGGTGGTCCAATGACTAAGCCACAGTCTGAATGCAGGGAGCTTGGGTTCAATCCCTGGTCAGGGAACTAGATCCCACATGCCACAACTAAGAGTTTGCATGCCACAACAAAAATCCCTCTTGCCACAACTGAGAACTGACAGGACTTAAATACTTTTTAAAATAAAAAATAAATGATTCAGCCACTTGAAAAAAATGGTTTGGCAGTTCCACAAAAGAGTTATTAGGACTTAACATATGACCCAGGAATACCACTACTAAGTATATATCCAAGAGAATTAGAAACACATCCACATGAAAGTGCATGTGAAAATATTCTTAGCAGCATTACTCATAATCCCCAAGAAATGGAAACAACCAAAATGTCCATCAACTGATGAATAAATAAACTATGTCACACTGGGTGTGGGCGCTTGAACTCCCTTTTACCAAGGGCAGCTGAGACCAGTCCAGGAAGCCTCCAGCCTGGAGCCATTCAGCCAGGAACAGAGCCTGCACTCCTGCCTCCCACCAGCTGGGTGGGAGGGAGGGAACCTGGGCACTCTCTCAGGGCCTGATTTAGTACTGTAGTTTGTACTGGACCATCAATGCACCTCACTGGTCCCAAAGCCTCCATCTGCCAAGAGCTGGCTGCTGTGGCCACTGGGGTTAATAAATCTGTTTAACTTGAGTGTGTGTGTGTGTGTATATATATATATATATATATATATATATAATGGAGTATTACATATATATTATATAAAATTACATTATATATAATGGAATATTATTCAGCAAAAAAAAAAGGATGGAATTTGACATAGACTACAACATAGATGAACCTTGAAAATACTATATAGTACGTTAAGGAAGTCAGACACAAAGGCCATGTATCATGATTTCATTTATATCAAATTTACAGGGACTTCCCTGGTGGTCCAGTTGTTAAGAATCTGCCTTCCAATGCAGGGGATGCAGGTTCGATCCCTGGTCCGTGAACATGCCGCAGGGCATGCCACAGGGCAACTAAGCCTGTGCAACATGACTAAAGAGCTTGTGCTTGGAAACCAGTGAACCCACATACTCTAGAGCCCGTGTTCTACAGCAAGAGAAGCCCACTCACCACAACTAGAGAAGGCCCATGTGCCCCAGCAAAGACCCAGCACAGCCAATGTTTATGCATATATGTACATGAATTTAGGTAGTGCTGACAATTGCACCACTTTGTGTATCTACTAAATACCACTGAATTGTGCACTTTGAAAGGATGAGCTTTGTGGTGCATGAATTATACCTCAATTACAAATCTATTTTTAAAAAGATGCAGGCTAAAGGGATCAAACTCCTCAGCAAAATGCAGATGCAAATATCACCTCTGATATTAAACACACAGAAAAAAAAAAAAAGAACAAACTTGACTATAAAAGGGAGACCATAAAGGAGCATAAAAGGGGATAATTAGTTGGATAAAAGAGCAGAGCAGAGTGATTACATGTTTCTTTTACTTTTTAAAACATTTTTGTTATTTTATTTTTGGCTGTGCTGGGTCTTCATTGCTGTGCACTCAGGCTTTAAAAGTGAAAGTTGCTCAGTCCTGTCCAATTCTTTATGACCCCATGGACTATACAGTCCATGGAATTCTCCAGGCCAGAATACTGGAGTAGGTAGCCTTTGCCTTCTCCAGGGGATCTTCCCAACCCAGGGATCGAACCCAGGTCTCCCACATCGCAGGTAGCTTCTTTACCAACTGAGCCACAAGAAGTGTGAAATTCTCTAATTGTGGAGATGGAGGCGGGCAGGCGCTGATCTGCTACAGAGCACAAGCTGCAGGCTTCTATAGTTGCAGTGCTCAGCTTAGTTGCTCCTCGGTATATGGGATCTTTCCAGACCAGGAAGATTCCCAGACACAGGGATCGAACCTGTGTCCCCTGCATTGGCTGGCAGATTCTTAACCACTGAACCACCAGGAAAGTTCAATTTCGTGTTTCTGAGCACTGATAGGGAGGCCCTTTCAATCTTCACTCCACCTCCCACTTAGTAAATTTGGAAATTTAAAAAACTACACCCCTCAGACTCCTTGGAGGTCAGAGTCCCAGCCCCTCCTACTGGCTGCATCTCTGCAGGAGTGGAGTTATCAGGAGGTGGCTTCCTTGCTGCTCCTGGCTGTACTTGCTGCAGGAGTTGACAAATTTGAGTCTCTTCTATAAGAGAGGTCTAGTTGTGAGTGACTTCTTGCACTGAACCCCCAGCCCTGGACTCAGCTCTGGGCCAGGGATCACACATCTCCAGTCATGGGGCCATTGGTGCAAACAAATGGGAAAAGGGGAGCAAAGGGAAAACATGCAGAAATGGCCAACCAAGAGACTATAAAGACTTACCTGCAGGGGAAGGGATATTTAGGGACTTTGGGATGATCAAACCTATGCCTCCTGCAGTGGAAGCAGAGTCCTAGCCCCTGGATGGCCAGGGAAGTCCCTCCAAACACATATTATTTTAAAATATCACATACCTATGGATCCTCCAAGATGACTGAAATGATTACCCACTAATTGCCTGGAGTCCCACTTGGGAATTGTCTACAGTTTGACCCTGAAACCAAGACCATGTAACTTTTCATGGGGAGAACCCCATGATCACAGCAGTTTTTAGGTTACTTTCTGCCCTGGTGACTTAAAAAGTGACTTACAAAGCCCTATCACAGGTAAAATTAACATGCTTAAAGACAACCCCCAATATTTCTCCTTCAAGCCCATCCTGTTCTTGATCACCCCACCTGTTAATGGCCCAGCTCATCAATTCATCAGACACAAAGCCCAAGTCAGCATTAAACCTTCCCTCCTGTCCCACTAGTCCAAGGACCACCTGCAGTGACCCAAAGGCACACCTCACTCAGCCTCTCCCCGACCACAGTGCCTCTCCCACATGCCTGCCAGTCTTCCTGATTCTACTGCCCAACTCCATCTGTTCTCCCAAATGGAATAGCCCCTCAAAGAGATCCACCCCATTGTGCACATGGGTGTGCAACACACACATATATCACATGCACACACAGATATCTGTGCACACACAGCTATCTGTGCACAAACATCACCTACACTTATATATGACATAAATACACATGTATAGACCACTTGCACACCACACGTGCATACACATGGGTAATCACATACCACACAGCACATGAATGTCTGCATATCAGATGACACACAGGCCCAACACACACACATACCACTTCTCCACTTGAAAGCTCCTGGGTCTCTGCTGGCAAAGTAATCCTCAAAATTCTCCAAGCCAGACTTCAACAGTACGTGAACCATGAACTTCCAGATGTTCAAGTTGGATTCAGGAAAGGCAGAGGAATCAGAGATCAAATTGCCAACATCCGTTGAATCATCGAAAAAGCAAGAGAGTTCCTGAAAAACATCTGCTTTATTGACTATGCCAAAGCCTTTGACTATGTGGATCACAACAAACTGTGGAAAATTTTTAAAGAGATGGGAATACCAGACCACCTGATCTGCCTCCTGAGAAATCTGTATGCAGGTCAAGAAGTAACAGTTAGAATTGGACATGGAACAACAGACTGGTTCCAGATTGGGAAAGAAGTATGTCAAGGCTGTATACTGTCACCCTGCTTATTTAACTTATATGCAGAGTATGTCATGAGAAATGCAGGCATGGATGAAGCACAAGTTGGAATCAAGATTGCCGGGAGAAATATTGATAACCTCAGATATGCAGATGACACCACTCCTATGGCAGAAAACAAAGAAGAACTAAAGAGTCTGTCGATGAAAGTGCAAGAGAAGAGTGAAAAAGGCTTAAAACTCAACATTCAGAAAACTAAGATCATGGCGTCTAGTATTTGCCATCACTTCATGGCAAATAGATTGGGAAACAATGGAAATAATAACAGACTTTATTTTTGGAGGCTCTCAAATCACTACAGATGGTGACTACAGCCATGAAATTAAAAGACGCTTGCTCCTTGGCAGAAAAGTTATGACCAACCTAGACAGCATATTAAAAGGCAGAGACATTGCTTTGCCAACAAAAGTCCATCTAGTCAAAGCTGTGGTTTTTCCAGTAGTCATGTATGAATGTGAGAGTTGGACTATAAAGAAAGCTGAGCACTGAAGAACTGATGCTTTTGAACTGTGGTGTTGGAGAAGACTCTTGAGAGTCCCTTGGACTGCAAGGAGATCCAACCAGTCCATCCTAAAGGAGATCAGTCCTCGGTGTTCATTGGAAGGACTGATGCTGAAGCTGAAGCGCCAATACTTTGGCCACCTGATGTGAAGAACTGACTCATTGGAAAAGACCTTAATTCTGGGAAAGACTGAAGGCAGGAGGAGAAGGGGACAGAGGATGAGATGGTTGGATGGCATCACCAACTTGATGGACATGAGTTTGCATAAACTCCAGGAGTTGGTGATGGACAGGGAAGCCTGGCGTGCTGCAGTCCGTGGGGTCACAAAGAGTCAGACACAACTGAGCAACTGGATTGAAATGAACTTCTGCTGCTACTCAGTGACTGCCACCTCCTGACCCTCTCTTCCTTGCTGACAGAACATCGCTGTTCTTCTGCAGGGCACCACTTAAGAAGCACTCCCTGCCTCCCTTGCAGCTACGGAAGACCACATGACACACTTCTGGCCAATTAAGGGATGAAGTTGCTGGCAGGAGAGCTCGCCAAGGGACGGGTTCAACAGTGTGCCCCTTCCTCTGTCCTCAGCCCTCCCACCTGGGTCTCATGCTGCTTCCTTAAGTGTGGAACATGCCGGGGATGGATGGATCCAGAAGAAAGCTATGTGCAGCGGGCCAGGTGGACACACAGAAGGAACCACGTTCTCTGGCGCTGGGGACTGCTCTGCATGGCCCAACAGTCGCCCTGTTCTCTTCTTGTCTGTGCGGCTCTCCAGGCCACCAAGCCCCGTCCTGAGAACCTAAATGCCCGTCCTGCCAAGAGCGTCCCGCCCGCTCCGGCCTCCACCAGCTTGCCTGCCTGCACATGCGCACTGACCAACCCACTCTTCTCACAGCTCGGAGTGGAGGCGGAGCCAGGCCTGTCACTAACACAGCACATACCGTCTCTCTCCATGAAAGACCCACAGAAAAGACCAAGAAAAAAGTCAAAGAAGTATCTTAAGTGGGAATTCCCTGGTGGTCCAGTGCTTAGGCCTCTGCAGGAAGCCCGGCTTCAATCTCTGGTTGGGGAACTAAGAATCCCACATGCCCAGTGCCCCAGCTCAAAAATGAACACAAGTGACTAAGCCAAGTTTGTACTTATTTAATAAGAAAATCGCTTCTTTAAAAAAATAAGTCTTTACATGCTCAGGTGTGTGTAGTCAATGTGTTGAGCTGAAAATAGATTTGCAGCAGGTTCTCCCTGTGAGGAAAACTCAGAATGACGCAGGTCTCAAGACCCTGAGGTGAAGAGGGCACGCGGCGGGGCTCTCCCATCTGGCGAAGGCACGCAGCCCACAGCAGGCTGGCAGGTCCCGGCACGTGTCGTGGGCCACTTCCAAGATGCTCCCGGGGCCTCAGTCACTGTCCCCGACCCCGTCACTGCCTTCCAGGGAGCTGGGGGCCTGCAGGGCAACAGCACACAGGAGACAGCCGTGAGGAACCATGCTGTTCAGAGGCAGGCACTTCCTCCCAGGGTGGAGGTCGGGCTGCCCTGACCTGCCTGAGGCGTGACCTGCCTGACTCCATGTCTCTCCTAACTGGTTCAAGAACCTGTCTTAAGACTGGGAAAGCCAGGGGCTGGGAATAAGAAGCGAGGTCTTCACTGGGCTCCTTCAAATGCCCAGAGGCCACCACTGCAGAACCCTGGGAACATAAAACTGGGCCACTGCAAAGCTGGACAAGTACAAGCCCCTCAGCAGTATGTACAGATGGCAAATGGCCAGAGGCCTCTATTCACAGAATCAAGCAGAGGGCAAGCCTGGCCCCAGGTCATACCTGTACATATGCTTGACCTGGCCTCATGGTGCTCGGGAAAACTGATAACCATCTACCATCAAAGGGCAGAAGTGCAACCCAAAGTACATAAATAAAGGGTAGAATATTTCATATAAAATCCAGGAATGCCAGTTTCTCTGGAAAAAAAAATGTAAGCTCTGACAACACTTGGGCCCACCTCCCTTGGCTGAACCAACCGCACCTGCCCCTTCAGGTGGAGCAAGAGCTCTCCTGTTGGCCACAGTCTCCACCAAGCCCTATTCCCTCCTGACACTGCATGCTACTTACCATCTGACCTGCACGCCTGCTTTCTTTACACTTGGCCCACCCTGCTTACTTCCCTTCCCTGGATGCACCTGAGTTTACAAGCCCAGCTGTGGAGGAAGGACAGTGTCTTTCTGGATACCTAGAACATGGGAAGAAATCTCCCATAGCTCCAGGTGGGAATCTCACCCTCTGACTGCCTGCTGGGCCACCACGAGAGAACATGGGCTTTGGGGACCTCCCTCACTGCAGGATAAAGAATTGAGAACTAAAGTTAAAATGTTAACTTTTAGCTCCAGCACCTTGAATCATGGATGTTCTCCTTCTAACATAAGGTTGGTAGTTACATAACAGATGAGTCACATTTGGAGTCAGGGCCCTGGGAGGTACTGACAGCAAGCCTGGCTCCCTTGCTTGCTGAGCAGAGTAGCCTGATTGGGAGCTGGGCCAAAATGCAGGGTTTGCACCAGCCTGCATTCCCCCGCAGATGGAGGGCAGCACCGTAGGCCTGGACAGGAACACCACCCTGGGCGAGGAGAACAGCACTGGGCTGCTCAGTGTCCTGGGCCCAAGCAATCCCACATTCTGGAGTCAGACACATGTGCACCAACCAAGTGCGTGAGCCAGAGAAGGACGTCCCAGTGTCACCTCCCTCTCACACTTGGGAAGACGGGCCACTGAGCGTGTCCCTCACCCAGGGTCACCAAGCACAGAGCAGATGAGCCAGCCACCAGAACCTCTGCCCTGGCCTTTGCTCCTGCCACTGCTTGACCCTGGAGGAATGACGCAGCTCTTGGCACCTACGCTTGCTCATCTATAGAATGGGCGCAATCAATGACAGGTGTGGACAAGCGCCTGGCTGAGCTCCTGGGAAGGCCAGCACCAGCCCCCATGGTCCCCAGCCCCCAGCCCCACCTTGGTGCCCAGGCCAGTGGCAGCGTGGGCAGTGGCGCTGAAGTTGTGCACGGGCAGGGTGCTCAGCCACTGGGCCATGGACCTCTCCTGGCGCTCGGTGCTAATGATCGTGGGGTAGATGTGCTGCTCCTTGAAGGCCGTGACCTCTGCCTCCTCCCGCGCCCAGTCCAGTGGCTCGTGCAGCCCGTCGTGGCCAAAGCGCTGGTTGTACTTCTCGAAGTGCACCCGCTCCAGGACCAGGCCGAGCCCCGGCGCCTTGGGCACGTCCACCTTGGCCTCGCCCCAGCAGCGCTCCAGCACACTCTCAGGCGCATAGCCCTTGACGATGGCCACCACCAGCCCCACCATCTTCCTGATCTGGTGCGTCATGAAGCTCTGGCCCTTGACCTTGATCACAGCGAACTCCATGCCCTCACGCACGAAGGGCTCCTCACAGAACATGTCGAGGATGTAGCGCCGGGCACTGGGCTCGTGGGGCCCCTTCTGGGAGGTGAAGTTGTGGAAGTTGTGTGTGCCCTTGTAGCAGGCCAGGAGCCGGTTCACACGCCCCAGTGTCTCTGCGCTCAGCCGGTACGTCTCATCCTGCGAGTCGTGATCCTTGTGGGCAAAGGCAAACGTGGGCAGCATGTAGAAGTAGGTCCTGGCGTCACACTTATTCTTGGAGTTGAAACCGCCTGTGACCCTCTTCAGTCCTGGAGGCAGAGGAAGCGATGAGGACAGACTGATGACACTCATGACCAGCTCTGAGCACTGGCACCTGGCCTCCCAAACCCAGATGAGCCCGAGGGGGACCCAGCTCCATGTGCTAAACCTCAGTCCACCAGACACTCTATCTCAGAGCCAAACCAACCAGTACAGTCAATTCTTAAGCATCTGTCAGAACCCAGGGTCGGCCAAGCTGCTGGACATCCTGCTCTCACCTCTCGAATCCCAGGGGGACCCAGCACAGAGGGACCAGTTGCCATGGAGACCAAAGCACCAGCTGGTGTCCCTGACTTGGAACCCATGGGTCAGAAGCCATCCTGCAGGTGAGGCCAGGGGCAGCATTGTGATCAACAGCAAAAGAAGCTTAAAAAGCCCAGTAATAGGAAAGCCATCAGTGGCTCTCAGACATCTGCAGGATGAAATGGGAGGCAGGCCCGCAGGGCAGGTGGCACGTCACCTGGACCACAGGCCTCATGGCTGAGGGCTCACTGCACTGGAAGGAGCTCCAAAAATATTTAACCGTTCAGTGAAAAAAAAAGCAAAATGGGGCTCCCCTGGTGGTACAGTGGATAAAAATCCGTCTGCCAATGCAGGGGACATGGGTTCGATCCCTGGTCTGGAAAGATCCCACATGTTTCGGGACAACTAAGCTTGTGCACCACAACTACTGAGTCTGAGCACCTACAGCCTATGCTCTCAACAAAAGAAGCCGCCGCAATGAGAAGCCTGTGCACTGCAATTAAAAGTGTAGTGCCCACTTGCCACAACTAGAGAAAGCCCTCGCAGCAATGAAGACCCAGAGCGACAACAACAACAAAAAATAAATTATAAACAAAAAAGAAAGAAAAGCAAAATGGAGAACTACAGGAAGGGGAATTCTTTTTGTGACAGGAATACATATATAGAGATTATGTCTATATTTGTACAGAAAATTTCTACAAGGATGGTGAGAACTGTTGGTAGGGATGGTTTCTGGGAGCTGGGGACCAGAGAGTCCCCCGTGGCTTGGATGCTCCCTGCTGAATGGCTGTCCTCACACTGAAGGCACAATCAAGTTGCAAGGAGGCAGCCTCACAAGGAGCCTGACTTAAAGGCCAACTTTGGCTTCAGATTTCAGGGGGTGATTCGATGCCCCCCAACAGCCCTCCACAGCAGCCAGTGCCTCCAAGCTGCCCCTGCCCCTCCACCCGCCACTGCCGGTTCAAGGCTGCACCTCCCCTGTGCTCTCCACCACCTGTTTCTGCTGTTATGTTTGATTTGGGGTAATCTTATTTTTGTTTTTTGTCTTGCTTTAAGAATTCATCTTGGTCGACACTGAGCACCACAAGTATGCTTCAGCATGTAATTTCCATTGTGTGGAACATAATCGCCAAGAGGCTGGGGGAGGCTGGCAGTCAACCATACAGCTGGGCTGTTAATGGTCGTGTGGTATCCTGTTATAGAAGCAGTGTAAACAGCTGCAATTGTGCATAGGGTTTGGTATTGTTTTAGCAAAACAGGGGAATAACCCATGGCAAACATTAGAATACTCCCTGGGGAAATGACTGTTACGAAGCATCAAATGGGACTTTAAGAGGACTGGCTCTAGAAGGAGGTTTTCAAGAGGGATTACCCTACCAGGGAGAGAAAGATCACAGTGTAATAAAAACAAAACTATGTTATACTAAAAGTAAATTCAGGCTTCCCTGGAGGCTCAGTGGTAAAGAATCCACCTGCCAATGCAGGAGACACAGGTTTGATCCCTGGATCAGGAAGATCCCCTGGAGAAGGAAATGGTAACCCACTCCAGTATTCTTACCTAGAAAATACCATGGACAGATGAGCCTGGCGGGCTATAGTCCATGTGGTTGCAAGAGTCAAGACACGACTTCTGTGGCCCTCTGGCCCTCTTCAGAAAAAGTTTGCCAACTCTTTTTTTAAATTTAAACCCCAAAGCAATAACTTAAAAAAACAAACAAACAAAAAAAAACTATAGCGAGTCATAGCATTAACTAACCAAACCGCTCCTTTCTCTAGGGGAAATTACCAATCCAGGTACCAAACTCAGGTCTCCCACTTTGCAGGCAGACTCTTTACCAGCTGAGCCACCAGGGAAGCCCCCCAAAGTGATAATTAAAAGCAATTATAAGAAACATCAATTAATCCAAAAGGAGGGACAAACAGAGGAGGGGAACAAAGTAACAGACGGGACAGAGAGAAACAGGAGGCAAGAAGATCTACGCCCAGCCATCCCAGCACACGTTATAATAATCATAAAACCAATGGCACATATACGCCACCTAAAAGGCAGAGAGTCAGACTGGATTTTTAAAAAAAAAAAAAAGGTCCTAGAAATCCCATTATCAGGCCTATTACAAAAGGGAATAATTGCCCCTGTTTTAATTTGATCAAATCCAGACTTTATACCCAAGCATTTGGTTAAAACAAGGCACATGTAGTGCCAAAGTGCTGCACCGATGGCCTGAATCTGTCTGTCCAGCTGTGTCCCTTCCTGAAGGAGACACGAGTCCTGAATCCTTTTCTATAACTGACGTATAGCCACTGCGACCAACCGCTAAGGAACTGCTCTGTTGTCTTATCTCCACAATAGAGAAACTCAGCGAGAAAAGGAATTGCATGTCTCTGTTGGGACCAGCCACCACCTGGTGCGCAGCCCTGGTGACACATGGCTTACCCAAAATCCGAATGTGAGACGGAAGGTGGCTGTTGATCTTTTCTAAAATGTCATCAATCAGCCACACCTTCAGGGACACGACCTGGCCGGCCGCAGACACGCCCTGCAAAGGAAGCAGACGTGGGAGGGCCAGCTGGGCCTTGCACTTGGAGCACGACGCTCGGCACGCTGGTCTCTTCAGCAGAAGGACCACGCACACGCTGCGTCTTTCCACGGAGGAATTCTGCTTCTAGAAATGCATCTGAAGGGAATAATCAGAGACGAGAACAGTGCTCTGTATACCAAGGGAGTGAATGCTGTGCCACTCATAAAACATTACAAGTGAACTTCGAAGCTCAACAGAACATAAAGCTAGGGAACAAATCTATGACATCCTGCAGATAGGAGATAAAGTCCCACCTTTGACGTGATTCTCCAAGACTTAGGAAAAAAAGAAAATGCAAGTTAGATGACAAAACTCCAGGGCAGAGCAAGGAAGAGGTAATCATCTGAGTTGCAATAGCAGGAATCCTTTGGGGATGGGGCGCTGGTTACATAACTGATCAAGCTCTGTGCTCAGGATGAATGCAGTAACCATTTGTATATTACCCCTCTGTGGCCGCATGGTCCTGTTTGTATCATGAGCCTGAGATGGATGGATCTAAGGCAGATGTCGTGGCCACTGCGCCACTCGCAGGAGCAGCCAAAGAGGAAGCATAGACAGGATATCAGGCCCTGTGGCCCCAAGCACCTAGGTCCGGCCACACATGAGCCAGAAATGCCCCAGCTTCTTGGTTGCACAAGGCAAATTTCTTTCCACTTAGACTAGCTTGATCTGTGCATCTGTCATTTGTGACCAGGAGAATCTTGAGAGATAGAGACACTAAGAGGGAAAGTGGGACAAGGACAAACACAAACCACAGACGGGCAGCTTCAGTGCTGCTCACACCTGCCAGGGATGTGGGGACAGCACCTACCTTGTCCGTCCGGGCACAGCGCTGGAAAGACATCTTCCGCATGTCCTCCCCGTGATTCTCAGGGATACAGCCCGAGCGAACCAGGGCCAACACCAGGTCATCTTCGATGGTCTTGAATTTCGAGGACCCAACATTCCTCTGAGGAAAAGAGAAGAAAAATTGTTTCTTCCGAGTCACTACCCACTGTAAAAGGCCCCAGGCCGAGGCTGGTCCAGGGAGGGGCATGTGTGGTGTGCCCACACCTGTGGGCACGGAGAGACCCTGCAGCTCATCCCCCGACCTATGAGAAGTAGGAAAGCCACCTGTGGGTCCTCACAGTCCTAGAAATTTCCAACCCTGGGCAGCCAACATTGCCCTCACCTGAGACAACATTTCCCTCTACCTAGTCGGATATTAAAAGACTCTTGCTCCTTGGAAGAAAAGCCATGACAAACCTAGACAGCATATTAAAAAGCAGAGATATCTCTTTGCCAACAAAGGTCCGTCTAGTCAAAGCTATGGCTTTTCCAGTAGTCATGTATGGATATGAGAGCTGGAACATAAAGAAGGCTAAACTCCGAAGAACTGATGCTTTTGAACTGTGATGCTGGAGAAGACTTCTTTTTTAACTTTAAAATTTCCTGATGGGTTTAGTTTGTGAATAAAAAAGAAAAAAAAATGAACAAAGTGTTCACAGTAATTATCAAGGCAAAGTCAACTCTAACAGTTTCTCTGTAATGTCATGAGTGTGTCAGCGACACCACCAGGCCAACGCAGTTGATGGCAGTGGTGTGCTGGCTCAGACATCACCCCTACAGCTGCTACTGTCGCCAGAAGTCCTCAAGTTGCAGGGTCAGTGCCTGGGGCCCAAGCTCTTTACCAGCTGCAGCTCTCTCTTCTGGAGCTGAGTAGGGGAGGCAAGTGGCAGGACCTCAGGAGACCCCAGTCTGCACTCTACACACCCGCTGGGCTCATGGGTCCAGGGCTGCCCTCTGGGGTCAAGGGCGTGCGCAATACTGCTGTGGTGGGGAGCGGGCAACCCCACCAGGGCTGGGTGGAGAAGACTCTTGAAAGTCCCTTGGACAGCAAGAAGATCAAACCAGTCAAAGGAAATCAGTCCTGAATACTCTTTGGAAACTGAAGTTCCAACACTTTGGCCACCTGATGCAAAAAGCCACCTCACTGGAAAAGACCCCGATGCTGGGAAAGATTGAGGGCAGGAGGAGAAGGGAGTGACAGAGGATGAGATGGTTGGATAGCATTCCTGACTCAGTGGATGTGAGCAAACTCCAGGAGATAGTGAAGCACAGGGGAGCCTGGAGTGCTGCAGTCCTTGGGGTCACAAAGAGTTAGACACGACTGAATAACAAGTCAGATATGAGACCAGCACCCTCCTGCTTAAGACCCATCTGTCTGCAGCACCCAGCCAAAGAGGGACTCCTCTCCCTCATCACCCTAGGGAATCCCCTCCCCCAGTAACCTAGGGTACCCGCCCCCAACCGCCCCAGGTCCTAAGCACGCCCTCCTGCATCACTACGGGGAGGCAGGCACCCCTGCTAAAGGTGGAAGCCACCCCAGGGTACGACCAGCATCTAGTGGGTGCAAATGGGAATGTGCTGTTGGTGAGGGATGCAGTGTAACCCCAGTCCAGTCCTGCAGGATCCCATGACATTGGTGAGATCACCACCCTGACAGTCTCAAAGAAAACCTTTGACAAGGAAGGGACACACTCCTACAAGCACTTCGCCAATGCTCATCACAGTGGGAAGGTTCTTCCCCAAGTCCACCTTACAGTTTCCATGGCACCGTAAGCCAATCACTCAGCAAGAAGCTGTAAATGCTCCTCCAGTGATTGGCATAGATATTAGGAAACAGGGATAACAACCCTTCCACATATCCCACGGTGTCCTGTCACCATGCGAGCTACTGTCACTCTCCACCCTTCATTCATTCTCCTAATGAGGAAACTGAGGCAAACTGAGTATGATGAGACATGGGCAAAATTCTCAAGTCAGCAATAAGGCAACAACACATGTGATCAAAGTCACCCTCAAAAAAGCATTTAAATAACCACAAAGAGCAGCGGAGGTGGTTAGCCTGTTCCACTAAGTGGGACCGAAGCACTGTTTTCACCAACTGTCACGATCTACCAGTGGTCATCAAATTGGGTTCATGGGCACAACCTTATACTTTAAAGAAAATAATGAAATAGGAAATGAAGTAGCTCATTACTACTGTTATTCACAGTAAAGGCTACCACAGCGCTTGGTAAGGTTGGGCATTGTTTTCCTAAACTTCTGCTTGAGTTAGATACTTTACACAGCAGTGAATTACTCCCTGGGAGTCAAGCTTAAAGAAGTTTACAGAACAAGAAACCAAAGTGTAAGAGCCACAGAGCTGACCACAAGGAAAAAGAAGAAAACCCACGTGCATCTGTCGGGGCACCCAGACCCTTCTGCTTTTCAGGAAAGGATTGCATGGTGGGGCTGGGCAGGGAATTCTCATGTGCCCATGTACCCGCAAACTGTCATCTTCACGACTCTGACAAAGAGAAACAGCAGCCTCTTCTGAGCATCCCCGGCACTGTCCCAATCCTAGCGAGCAGCATCAGTCAGCCTAATAATGACTCTTCATGCCAGTACTGTGATCTTAAAGAAGAGGAAGCGAGGCACGGAGAGCTCCAGTCACTTGCCTGAGGCCACAATGCTTGGTCATCAGCAGGCCTAGGACCTTAATCACCTTAGGAGGCTCGTGAACACCCACCACAAGCATCCAAGCAATGTATAGACGACACAAGTCTCAAAGCTGCTTCCATTTGAATCTTACTTGATGGGAACCACCCAATAGAATAGGTGAAGAATGAGACCTCGCTTTCTGCCATTTCCTGAGATGGCTCACAGGGCAAATGTCACTCTGAGGTCTCTGCCCAAGCACACGGTGGCCTTGAGAGGTCAGAGCTGCCCAGGCCCCTCAGGGCGCCCTCACCTGCATGCCGTGGTAGCCCTTCCCAGAATAAGCCATAAGCAGCACGATCTTCCGCTTGGGCAGCTTCCTCTGCTGCTCTCCATCCTCACTGCTCTTGAGCTTCTTCGCCTGCTGCTCTGTTTCTTCCCAGATCCTGGTGGGACCCTGCCAGCCACTCCGGGCCTTCTTGTTCTGCTCCTGTTTGGTTCCCACGGGCATGGGGGCCTCCCCGTTCCCGGCCATTGAGTGCAAACTGAAAAGATATGGTGGGGGGGTAAGGGTGCGGGGCGGTGAGCAACACAGAAGGAAACACAGTGAAAGAGTGACCGTGGCAGCATGGGCCGGTAAACACACTGGGCTGACCACCGCGGCGTCCAAACCCCAGCTGGGCCCTAACTGTAGATCTTGCCCAACCACCAACTTGGCCTCGTTTCACTGTCCGAGAAATGGAGCAGTGACAGCACTTAACGCGATCAGGGCTTGGCGCTCGCCGGGCATGCAGTCGGGCTCAGTGGGGGTCAGCGTGCTATCCCAGGGTCACAGACAAGTGCACCGTCATTACCAAAGGAGGCGCGGTCCCAGGTGCGGGGTCCACGGTCCGCAGGCTCTCCTCAGGGCCCAGGCCGCCGCCCGCAGGCCGGGGAGCCCCATGCAGTGCCGGGAGTGGCGGGGGTGAGGGGGCACGCGCCCGACCCCTGATCTCCCCCGGGACGCACTCTCCCAGGCCCTTTAGATCCCTGACCTCACCGGGGCCCCTACACACCAGCCCGCCCCTCCCGAACTCCCAGTCACCCCCGCCACGCTCCAGCCCCGCCCCTTCTGAACTCTAACCTTCCTGGGACCCTCTCCCGCTCCAGCCCCGCCCACGGATAACCTCAGACTTCCTGACCCCCAGGCTGACCTCTGACCTCCCTAGTCCCTCCTGCTCCCCCTTCGTCCTCTCGCCCTGCCCAGCCGGCTCTCCCTCGGGAGTCGGGAGACCCCGGCCACCCACGCCAGGACCAGTGGGGCACTCCCTGACCCGGCCCCACTCACGGAGCCGCGGACTGAGCCCGAACGGGACCACGTGGGAGAAGGCGGAAGTAGAGAGCACTGCCGGACGGCGGCCGGACGTGGACAAAAGTCCTTCTGGGAGAGGCGGGTCGAGGCGACTTGGGGCGGAGCTTGGTGTCGGGGGCGGGACTGGGCGTGGCTTGGGGGCGGGGCCTGGTGTCGGGAGCCAGGTTCCCCGCCGCCGCCGCCGACTCCCGGCCGGTTCGTGGCACTGTGAATGCACCATTTTATTTATTTATTTATTTTTTTAATTTATTTATTTATTTTTTTTTATCACAGCCATAGTGTATCTTTTTTTTTTTTTTTTTTTTTACATGTATTCCCCATCCCGGTCCCCCCTCCCACCTCCCTCTCCACCCGATCCCTCTGGGTCTTCCCAGTGCACCAGGCCCGAGCACTTGTCTCATGCACCCAACCTGGGCTGGTGATCTGTTTCACCCTAGATAATATACGTGTTTCGATGCTGTTCTCTTGAAACATCCCACCCTCGCCTTCTCCCAGAGTCCACAAGTCTGTTCTATACATAGGAGTCTCTTTTTCTGTTTTGCACATAGGGTTATCGTTACCATCTTTCTAAATTCCATATATATGTGTTAGTATACTGTAATGGTCTTTATCTTTCTGGCTTACTTCGCTCTGTATAATGGGCTCCAGTTTCATCCATCTCATTAGAACTGATTCAAATGAATCAGTTGAAAAAGAATTAAAATGAATGCACCATTTTAGAGCGAACGAATCATCCTCGCAGCTAACGCTCCCAGTCGCTGCTCCGTGTTACACGTGTCAGTTCATTCAGTCCTTTCGCCCACCCTAAGGAGCAAGCACCATAGGATCTCCTCGTTACTGAAGAGGGACCCGAGGGATAAAGAGGCTGAGCCCCTTGCCTGAAGTTTCACAACAGCAAGCCCTGGCATCTGGAATGAGAGCCTCTTTCAACAGCGTGCAGACCAGCGCCTTCCCACAAACCTGTCCTAAGAAAGCACTTGCCATGTGCCACGTGCTGTTCTAGCGGCTTGGATGCATGTTAGCTTATTCAATCCTCATGAAACCTTGAGGAAGGTTTTCTTGTCCCCGTTTTACATTGAGAGGCCCGGAAATGCCAGGGAGAGAGTGAGTCATGTTGAGGCTCCAGGAAGTGATGACCTCCCGGGAACTGGTGGAAGACAGTTGGGAAAGTCATCCATGCGGGGTTTGGAAGACTATGGGTGGGTGGAATGAGCAACAGAACCCACAGAAGGTGGAAGGAAGTCTGCTGAAGGCATGGGATTCAGATCTCCCTGAGTGGGTTACTGGGTCAGCAGCAATTTACTGAGCACCTGCTAGGTTATTGGTGCCTCCAGAGGCTGGGAACAGATGAGGAGCAGAACCCCTGTCCACAGGAAGCTCCCATTCCTGGGGGGACAGGTCATAACAAACCAACAGTCAGAGAGTATGTGATCAAATAGTAAATGCCTAGTGAAGAATGACTCAGAAGTACTGACACATGCTATAGTTGGGGGTCCCTGAGAACACGTTCAGCGGGAGAAGCCACTCCGGGCCTTCTTATCCTGCTCCTGCTTGGTTCCCATGGACATGGGGGCCTCCACATGCAAAAGGCCACATCTTGCGTGGCTCCACGTGCGGTTGATCCTTTAACAATGCAGGGTTGAGTATGCAGCTCCACTTATACGGGGTTTGTGTCACTAAATCCTAACTGCAGTATGACTCAGCCTGCCAGTGGTTGAATCCATAGATGTGTAACCATGGATATGGAGAGCTAACTGTCCAGTTATATGTGGATTTCCAAACTGCTTGAGGGGTCTGTGACCCTAACCACCGTGTTGTTCATGGGTCAACTCTATGTGAAATGTCCAGAACAAGCAAATCCACAAAGAAAGAAAGTAGATCCATGACTGCTGACAAAGATTCTTTTGTGGATCAAACTCTACTCAGCCTCCTCCTCTGCACACAAGTCAGACCTGGTTGGACAAGAGCTCAGGCAGATGGGAGGGGACAGCTGACCTGTACTAAACAACGCCCACCCCCCCAACCATGGCCCCAGGACAGCCCATCCCTCTGGGGGAAGGGAAGAAAGAACGGTACCAGGGTTCCAGGCATGAGTAAAGGTCAAGGTCACGTGTGGTCTGAGGAACTCAAGTGGCTGAGTGGCCTTGAGAAGCAGCAGAGCACCTTCACACAGAGCCCCCACCCCCACCCCTTACCATAGACAGAGACCCATTGTCAGGGGCCAGTTCTTTCCAGCTGTCAGCCTCTGCAGCTCCGGAGGCGTGGGCCCCGCTCTGGCACTTGCAGATGGACACAGGGGCCCAGGCTGAGCTGTTCATGTGAGCACATGACCTGGGCAACTGTGATGACTGAAACGGCAGAGGAACTAGAGCTGCTGAGGAGAGCTGTTGAAACTCAATGATGGGGACTTTGGGTGGTGTCCTGGAGATCAGTCAGCCTCTCCCTGCCTGAGTGAACCAAGAAGCCCACTGTGCTGGAACAGAAACCCTGGGCGGGGTGAGGGCAGTCTCAGGGGCAGGTCCAAGACCATGAGTTGTGCCTGGGGGCGGGGGACCTGAGTCAACAGGCGGGGACCATAGAAGCCTGGGGCCCTGCTCTCAGGTCCTGCATCAGGTGAAACAGAATGAAAGGAAAAGGCCACCAAGGCAGCTCCCTGCAAACCGACCATGGCAGCGCCAAGTATGCCTGCTCTTTCATCCAGACGCCAGCAGCTCTGATCTTGCCATCTCTGACCTATGGAGGGCACACTGAAGCCTGTGAGGTTGGGATAGGTGCCCAGGGGGCAGTTTGAAGTGGGACAGGCCCCCGAGTGGGGTCTCCTGGCTGAGGGTCCCTGTGAGCATGTCAGGAACGTGCAACACAAGGTCTACAGAAAGCAAGCAGGCAGCCAGCCCCTCCTGTGTGCCTGCTGCACCCCGAGGCCCGGCCAGTTCTCCGGGGCCCCCCTTCATGTCAGGCTCCTGCACAGGGAAGTTTATAGCAGCTTCACCCATAAACACTGAGAAGCCAGAGGGCATCCTTTGGTAGGTGAACAGATAAATAAACTTGGTACCTCCAGACGGGGGTATCATTCAGCACTGAAAAGAAATGAGCCATCAAGCCATGAAAAGACATGAAGAAGCCACTCGGAATAAACGACACATGGTACGATTCCAGCATTTTGGAAGAGACAAAATGATGGAGACAGTAAAGGGACGGGGATTGACGTCGGTGGAATGAACGCAGTGCAGATTTTTCAGTGCAGTGAAATGATACTGAAATGGTACATCACTGTACACGAGTCCAAACCCGCAGCATGTGCACCAAGAGTGAATCACAACATAAACCGTGGACTCTGGGTGATGTGTTGATGTCGGTTCAACAGTGGTAACAGATGAATCTCACCAATGCAAGTTATTGATGGGGCAGTGAAGGCGGCAGAAGGGGAGAGGGAGTAGTATGTGCGAGCTCTCTGTACTTCTTGCACAATGTTTCTGTGAACCTAAAACTGCTGTAAGAAATGAAGTCTATTAAACGTGACAACAAAATGCCATGGTTGTCTTAATCCTCTTTTGGCGTTTCTAACATACGGGGGAGCCCCACAGAACGGAAGGGGCTGCCTCTCCACCAGCACGACCCTTCCTGTCTACAGAGAAGGGAGCGCACGCTCCAGGAAGCCAGACTGGAGCAGCCCTGCTGGGACCCGGCCTTTTGGGGCCCCACCTTCCACTTCCTCTTAACGCTACCTTTCCACGAACTTTCGTCTCACATTGTGGTTAGCCTCTTTGGTAACTTAATGAGTTATTTTTAATCTATTGAAACAATATGTAGTCTAAAAAATGCAAACCTTACCACTCAACAATAGAGAAACCATCCAATTCAAGGATGGGTAAGGAACTTAAAATAGAAAAGATCTAGAAATTGCTGACAAACCCGTGAGAAGACACTTGGAGTCACTAACCATCAGGGTAGTGCAAATCAACTCTCACACCCACACCAATGTGGAGCGGGGGCCCCTCCTGCACTGAGGGTGGGGATGGAAATGCTGTGGCTACTGTTACGGTCCGGCAGCCAGTGAACCCCCAGAAGACTGAGCTCCTCAGCCTTGACTTGAGCCTGATCCCCAAACTCCAGGTGATGCTGCAGGACATGGGGATAGGGGGACCGAGAAAGGAGGTGACAGAACAAGACAGTAACAAACCATCAGTAACAGCAGCTCAACAAATCCAGACGTTTATTTCCTTAAATTGATATTACACAATTTAACATAAAGGTGTGTGTGTGTGGGGGGGGGGTCACACAAAATGTTTTTTAAGGTAGATCGAGAGGAGAGCTGTGTCATGGAGAACAGGACGGGCTGGCAGCACGCACCCTATGCCCTGGGAGGCTGGCAGCAAACAGAGCTGCGAGTGGCTACTCCTATGGCCCTGGCCTCCCAGTGGCCCTGATTCCAGCTGATCATAAAGCAATAAATATGAACACATTCTGCATTGGAGGAGAAACTCAAGTCACTAGTGATGAGACAGAAACAGGTCCCAGGGCTGCTTGCTGCTTTTAGGTCCAAGCACAGAGGCAAGATTTCAAGTATCACCGAGAGACAAACACATGAGGGTCTTCGCCTGGGCCTGGGGTGAGACCTCAAAGCTGTGGGTGATGAACTGGGGCCCCCTCTGCATCCTTGTGAACAGGTTTGAGGGGAGTTGGGCAGGGCTGGGCAGATCAGGGAAGGGCACCCTAGGGCCTGGAAGAGGGCTTTTCCGCCAACCCCCGAAATGTGGCCAGGACCTGGGTGTGTGGGGGATGACTTGATGTCAAAACCTACTGTGAAAGCTGGACTGGGAGGCTTTTGCACAAAAACGGTCATCACCTGCCCACCATCTTCAGGCAGGAAGTGAAGGTGAGGGTAGGGCAGACAGCTAAGCACAGACCACATGCGCCCAGCACCATCAGCCCCTCAGGTCTCGGCATCGCTGCCGAGGCTGTCCCTGATCTGCTCCCACCCTTTCAAAACAAAACATCAACTCGTATAAGTTTTCTTAAAAAAAAAAAAAGAAGAAATAAAAGTAAGAGCTGCAGAAAATAAGACACGTTTCAAGAGGAAAATGTGAAAGACTGCAACGTCTGTGCTGGGTTCTGGAAGCGCGGTGCTTCGTACTGTCCGTCCCTAAAAGAACATTTAAATAAGACGGCTGTCTCCCAAAGAGGGTCCCAGGCGGCGGGCACAGCACACGTGCTCGCAGGGCTGTTTACACACGTACATGTGAATACAGGTGTGCACACGCCTCGTAGTGCAACAGCCAGGACCGAGTGGCAGCCCTGGGTCCAGTCCGCCTGCATAAAGTGCTGGGTGATTCACAAAGCTGGGTGGTGGTCTCAGGGAAGGGCAGCGGAGGGAGCCAGGAGGATACACCTTTTCCCGGGTGGATCCACTGGGCAGGCCTGGCGGCTTTGGCTTGAGTGGGCATCATGGTCTCAGGGCCTCTTGTCTTCAGCATGACGGCCCTGGGGTCTGGGTGGGGTCGGGGGATGCCCACGCATCCCCACCTGCCATCAAGGCAGCCGAGAGAGAAGTTCCGATCGCTGGCTGGGCTAGGAGTTCTGCCCGTTAGCCAGGCTAGGGGACTGGCCTGTGCTGAGGTTCTGGGTGGGGCCCTCCACCACTCTGAAGTCAACGGCCGAGGAGCCCAGGAGATGGAGACGTGGCTTGAGGCCTGGCTCTGGCCGCTGGGTGGGGAGCTGAGGTCCTTTCCCCAGCACCAGCGAGCAGTGTCAAGGCCACAGGCTTGTCTCTTTCAGCCCGGCCAGCACACTGCTCCCCGTCCCAGGGATCTGCAGAGAAGGTCCAGTCCTTTCGGCACCACAGGCCAGGCCTCCAAGAGGTCAGGCACAGATGCCAGTCAGCAGGGCCGAGAGTCTCCGCTCAATGCACAGTTTGCCTGCAGTGAGGGAGGGAGAGAGGGTACCCAGTGAGCAGGTGCCCGGCTGCCCCCTCCTGCTCCCCCGGGCCCAGCAGTACTGACACTTGGCGATGTTCTCCACGTCCGCCTGGTCCGTGAGAATCTGCTGCAGCCCCTCCATGAGCAGCAGGGCCTTGTGGTAGCGCTGGACACAGTCCTCCCGGCGGTGGAACATCTCGTCCAGGGCGGCCGACTGCACCTGCCGGGCGAGGGTGGAGGCTGGGTCTGGCTGCCCCCCAACAGGGAGGAGGACCCAGGGCTGCCTGCCTGCAGGCTGGAGGGCATGAGAGATGGGGCAGGGTGGTGCAGGTGCTGTCCAAGTCACATGAGGCTGAAACAGATGCTTGCTCACTTCGGGCAGTCAGGGTTGCAGGTCAGACCCCAAGTGTGGCTAGCTCTGCCCCCAGATCAGCACTGCGACCTGGGAGAGGGCTCCCTTGGACCTGATCCCAGTCATTATTTTGGACCTGGTCCCAGTCATTATTAGTGCTGGCCAGCGATGGCATAACTTAGCAATGGTCACCCCAGGAGTTTGGGGATGAGAAGGCAGACTTTTCCCAAATGTTTATTCAAACGTTGCTTTTACTACAAGTGACTTTTTTTCAAAAAACAGAGATTGCCTTAGAAGCCACTCTTTTTGGAAAGCAACAGAGGCAGAGCACTGAGCGGGGCCCCTCCACGCCCCTAGCTGTCTTCACACTGTGTCTTCCGAGCTGGACTGCCTGCACAGGTTTCTTCTACTGCAGAAGAAACCAACTTGCCTGTAAAGAGGCTTGAAAACTAAGTCCCCTGTTTTCTTGGTAAGGAAATTGAGTTTTAGAGAGGGGTGCGGCCAGAGATACACTTGGACTATGGGGCTACACTGTGGGGCTGAAGCTCAGGTGAGTTCTGGACTCCCCGCTAGGGCTGGAGGGGCCTGTGTATCACTGGTTGGCAGAGCAGAGAGCATGGTGGAGCAATGCCCTCTGCAGTCTGGCAGAGCTGTGGCCATCAACCAGCCCTGCCCACTCCTTGGCCCACTCTCCCAGCTCCTCCCCACGCGGGGTCCCGCAGGTCCTACCGTCTGCACTGCATGGCTAAAGATGAGCTTCTCGGCAGTGACGCTCTGGATGCGGTCCAGGAGCCGCTGCTTGTCCAGGAAGAAGCGCTGCAGCCGCAGGCTCAGACTTTGGCAGGACACCACGCTGGTCTTGTACAGCTCATTCAGTTTCCGCACCACTGCAGGAGGGGACCTCGCAGCTCAGGCTGACCTCCGGAGTAGGGAGCAACTCACTCCATCCCCGGGGCAGATTTCTGACCACACCTCCTATGCATTCTGCCCCAGCAACACACACAGCGCCTTCCCACCCCCAGACACACAGGGCCCTGCTTCAGGGCCTTTGTACCTGGCCTTCTACCATCTCCCTGGCTGTTTGCCCACCTGGATGGGGCCTGCACCAGGTAACCTTAGAAAGGCCTCCCACATCACTGTATCCTCCCTGTCTTCCCCACGAGCTTACAGCCTCCTGCCCCGACCCTGCTGGGAGCCGGAGCCATCTGCACTCACCTTGCTTCACGGTGGACGATAGGCAGAGCTTGCCAGCCCGGATCTGGTCGATGGCGGTCTGCAGGCCCGAGGACAGGAGCTCGGCCACCTTCAGGTAGAGCACCAGCTGCTCTGCAAAACTGGAGGGCGGCCCGGATGTGTCAGGGTGCTGGGGGGCCCACAGCCCAGGCAGCCTCCCCGCTGGGCACCCGCTGGGCACACCCACCCCCATTCGCGGCTCAGCAGGCTGATCTGGTCGGCCACCACGCTCTCCTGCAGCTGGTCCTCGGGCCCCCCGGCCGCCTCGCTGGCGCTGCCCTTCAGGGCCGCGATCTCCAGGACGTGCTGGACAAAGACGAGCGTGAAGCGCAGGCTGTGCAGGATCTCCGTGTGCTCTTGCTGGGGAGACGGGGCAGCTGAGTGACGGACCTCGATAGCCCCGTGACCAGCCCTGCCCAGAGATCATGCCGGCCTCACCCCGGCCCCTGCCCTCACCTCCATCAAGGTCTCCTCGGGGAGGTCGGGGGCCTCGAAGGTCACAGCCCCCTCCAGGTTGGCGGTGACAGGGTCGGCAAAGCTGCAGCAGTGGGGGGCGGGGACCTCTAGGGTGGCCTCGCTGTAGGCCCCGGGCGCCAGGTGGCGGGCGGAGGAGGAGCCGGCCGAGCTGAGGGAGCTGGAGGAGCCCACTGTGGGGAGAGGGCTGGTGAGCAGGGGCCCCCACCACGGCCGCCCCTTCCCCATCCATCTTCTGCCACGCTGAGACACAAAGTCAGGTCCCCACCACCTGGCTCCTCTCCCTCCAGGGAGCAGAGCCCACAGTGGCGGCCTCACCACTCCCGGGCTTCCGTCCACTGCAGGTGGGACCCTCGAGTTCAGAAGCTGGGGCTACAGAGGCCTGTCTGCGTGACCTGTGCCCACCCAGAGGCAGCTCTGAGCCCTGGACCCCTGACCCTACTGGGAGGACCCTCCCAAGGCCTCAGCATGGGGGTGGTACCCCGGTGCCCAGGGTGCCACCCCTGCTCCACGGGTGCCATCAGCCACCACCCCTCCCGCTTCCTGAAGGAGGGCGTGGGCCACAGACTCACTGCAGCTTCGAGGCCACCAGACGGTCCTCACCTGAGAACATGGTGGTGCGGGGGCCCTGGGGTGGTGTGGTCCCGCTGGGGGGCGAGCCCACTGTGAACACTACGGGGGAAGGGCTGCTGGCACCCCCAACGCGAGCTCCTGGGTGCAGGTTCCCTCCGAAGCCAGCAGAGGGCGCTGGGGGAGTGAGAAGAGGAGCTCAGGTTCCTCCCGCCACAGCCCCCCCCACTTCCCAGAGAGGTGCCCACTGGCCCCCTCCGGCGCACCAATCTCCATGGGCTTCTCCTGCAGGCTGTCCGTGCTGCCTGAGTCGGGAGGCTGCGTCCCAAACGCAGCCTTAAGGAGCAGATCTGTGAGGCGGCCGGTGCTAAGGGACCTGCAGGGTGAAGGGTGGTGGAGAGGTGCCGTGAGCCGCCTTGGGGGTACCAGCCTACCCACTTCCCAGGGCTGGCTCCCCACACCCCCCAGGCAGGGCCTGGGGAAACTCACAGCCTGGTCAGCGTGCCCAGCCCTGCCCATCCCAGGCAGTTACTGTCACCCATTGAACAGATGTGCAAAGTGAGGCTCCAAAGGGGTGGGGGAGGGAGTGAGGTGCAGGCAAACAGCAGGCAGGCCGGGCCTCAACTCCCCAGGCAGTGCTGGGGGAATCCTCAACACTCACCTTCCGAAGGGGCCCTTGGTGTCCTCGGTGGGCCGCAGGCCGGGGCCCATCTGCTGCCCCTGGAAGGGCCCCGCCTCGGAGAGGTCGGGCAGCGTCCGGTTCCGTGGCGGCGTCATGACCACACCTTGCCGGGCCAGGAGGGTCAGCAGGTTCTGGGAGCTGGGGGTCTTGGTGAACTCAAACGCGGGCACAGTCTAGGAGGGGCAGGGAAGGTGCTGAGAGTGACATGCACGGTGACACTAACATCCTGACATGGTCAGCAGTGCTGGCCTGAATCTGCAAGGCCCCATGCCTCCACAAAGCCCCAACCCTCACTGACCCAGATCTTCACAGCAAAGAAGTGGGACTTGTGTGTGGCTGACTCCGTCCTATGCTGGAGCAAAGGCACACATGTAGACATGTACCACACTGGGCACACACATGTGCATCTATGCCCTCACAGAGACACCATCAGGTGGCTGCAGGTCCTAGCCCCGTTTCACATACAGAAAAACTGAAGACAAGGATGAATTAAATCATCTGCCCATGGCAGCAGCTTAGGTTCTCTGGTGCTCTGGACGCTGGACCAGGTCAGGACACTTCCCATCAAGGGCCAAGAGATGTTTTGCCTTTGGGGGCCAGTCTTCATCACGGGACTCCACGTGTAAATGGGATTTATGGAGTCAGCCACTAGTCGGTGCAAAAGATCTGGGTGCAGAGGGCAGGCCCAGCTGTGCTGGAGCATGCAGGCCCCACCTCCGGCTTCTGGGGACCCTCATGTCCTGCGGGAATCCCACCAGGGGAGAAAGCCCAGTGGCCCAGGCACATGGGAGAGATACAGCATCACTCCCACCCATCCCCTGGAGGTCTGGGGCCCTGTTACCTTGGTGGGGGAGCCGAGGATAGGGGGCAGGGGGTTCCGCTGCAGGAAGTCAGGCAGCTTGGGCGAGCCGCGCAGGGGCCGGCAGGATTGAAGTCCGTGGGAGGGCTGGGGGGGGCTGGCCTGCGGGTGGCCAAATGCCACCCCCAGTGGGTCCGTGGGGGGCTTGGGCAGCTTGGGACGGACGACATGCAGGTCGGACAGGTTGGGGGCGCTGTGCAGGCGGCAGCCCAGCCCGGTGGTGTGGGGAGAGTGCTCAGGCGCGGAGGAGCCTGGGAGGGGGCAGGATGGGCCCAGTCACAGCCGTCCGTGGACGCCTGGACCCGCCCACATCAGCAGACAACTGTGTATGGAGGCCCCCAGCCTGCTCAGGATCCTCTTTACCCTCAGTCACCCGAGTCTCACTGCACCCATGCTCCAATGTGTAGCTTAGGAAACAGGCACAGAGACACTGAGACACCTGCCCAAGATCACACAGCATGACAGGAGTGGGGGCTGAATGTGAACCCCGAAGTCAGCCTCCATAACCTGAAGGCTGGAGCTTGTTAAACAGTCTTACGGAATTTTCTTTCTCTCTTCAACTCATAAGAACTGATGATTAGGAGGGCTTCCCTGGTGGCTCAATGGTAAAGAACCTACCTGCCAAAGCAGGAGACCTGGGTTTGATCCCCGATCTGGGAAGATCCCACATGCCGTGGAGCAACTAAGCCTGTGCACCACAATTAATCAGCCTGTGCTCTAGAGCCTAGGAACTGCAATTACTGAGCCTGTGTGCTGCAACTACTGAAGAGCCTGTGCTCTGCAACAAAAGCCACCACAATGAAAAGGCTGCACAACTGCTCGCCACAACTAGAGAAAAGCCTGTACAGCACCATAAGACCCAGCACAGACAAAAATAAAGACATAAAATTATACTTAAATAAATCTTAAAAAAAAAAAAAAGATAGTTGTGGACAGGAAGACAACTACTGTTCTAAGCAGTGACAGGCCAGCCCGGGGAGGTAAGCCCAGCTCCTCTGCCCCTCCCCAGCTCCACCCTCAAACCCATCAATCAGACTGGGGCTGCACCCACCTGGACGAGGGGACCTGCCACCCCGCATCTCAGATGCTTGAGGGGAGGGTGCCCCGCTCCAGCCTGGCCGCTCAGGGATGGTTCCGACTTGGGGGAAAGAGAAATTGCCAGGGTCAACATGGGATGGAGAGTGAGACCCTCCCCAGCCCCAGGGTGGAGACACCCAGTCCCAGCTCAGAGGCTGGGTGTCCCAACAGTATACAGGCTCACCCTGGGGAGATGGTGTGTATGGCCGGCCCCCGCCCAGGGACAGCTTCCTGGCCAGGGCGGCTCCGTGCTCAGCGTGGGACGGGGGTGATGGGCTGGCCCGTGCAAAGCCCAAAGGACTGGTGCTGCCTGACCTGCGGATGGCAGAGGACCTGGGGACAAGCAGGTATGAGGTGTGAGGTCCCCAGCCACGCTCAGCAAGGACCACAAGCATGCCATGTGTCTGTCCCACTCCATTCAAATAATGGGCCTCACCAGGAGCCAAAACCAGCTAGGGGTCCCCAGTCCCTGCCAGGGTGACTGCCAACTCAGAGGGGCTTCTGGGAACTAATTTAAAAATGTACCCCTCCCTACTCTCTTTTGGAACTTAACACAAATCACCATCAATTTTATAAACACAAGCAGCCACCATACAGCTAAAGTGCCAGAATGTCCACGAAGCAAGTGGTGGCACTGATAGTTACACAGTGCGCAGCCTGCACAACAGCGCTTGAGAGATGGCCCTGCACCACCCAAGTGGGGTTCCTGCCACAGACGAGCCTGGCCGGCAGGGGGCCCCAGCACTCACCGCGCTGTCTGGTACTGGGTGGGTGACTGCAGGTTCTGCTCAATGCGCTGGTAGTTCTGTATCTGCGTGGGGACTGGGATGGGGACAGAGGCCCCACACCTGCTGCTGCAGAATGTGCCGGTCCGGCTGTGGTGGGGAAGAGAGTCAGGGTCACTGCAGGCCGGGCACTAGGCTGAGCCTCAGGCCAATAACCCAGGGCAGAGGCCACTCCAGCCACCTGCTCCCCTGTCTCTGCACACAGCCACTACCGCTTCCAGTGGGCACCGGGGACTATCTGGCACTCCCTCCCACTCCTCTGCACTCAGGTGGCTCCTGGTTGGGACCAGCCAGTAGGAAAGGGACAGAGGACAATGAGTGAGCTGCTCCTGTGGGTTCTGGGCATCCCTGCCCCCCGTGGCCCTACAAGTTCAGGGAGCGGGGCTGATGACACTGGTCTCTGGCAGTTTCTACAGCCCCCGTGGGCCCCAGCCCCACCTTATATCCTTCCCATCACAAAACCTCCCTTCCGCTGGACCACCCATGAGGGGCCTGGCAGCCTGCCCAGCCTCTGGACATGACTGCTTCCTGCATGGCCCGGCTTGGCGCTGGCATGCTGTGACGCCAAGGGGAGCCCAGGTGGCCCCTGCCCCACTCACCCTGAGGGGCTAAGAGAGCTGCCGCAGGGCGGAGAAGGAGACGGGGTCCGGCCACGGCTGTCCAGGCCTGTGGAGGCTGCCAGCGAGCTCCTGCAGACAGAGCAACAGGCAGTCCCCACACTCAGGACAAACGTGCAAACAGGCTCTGGCATCACCCTCGGGACTCCATCCTGCACTGGGCACAGCAGACCTGGCCCTGCTCAAACTCTGACCCGGAGGGTCGAAAGAGAGCAGGCATTGCCCTCCCACAAAAACAGGGTCAAGGGGCACGGGGCTGGGGGATGCTTACCCACTGCACATCAGGCTGTCCGGTGGCGGCTTGGCACCTGCTGCCTCAGCCACCAGGTCACCTGTGGACAGGAGATGGGTCAGGCTGGACCCAAACCTCCTCCTGGGGTGGTGGGGGACATGTGGGGCCCAGCGCTCTCCTGTCCCTGCTCTGGCACTCACACTGCCACCTCCCTTTGCCTGTCTCGACTCAGGAGACCGTGGTACCTCCCCTGCCCACCAGCCTTGAGCCAACCTCAGGCCGGGTGTCCACACCTCCCAATCTGGGTCTGACTCCTCCTCCCGGATCTTCAGGTTCCCACCTTCCCTCCTGCTGCCCTCCTTGCACTGCCCTCGGCTGGGTACCGGGCCCCTCCTCTGCATCAGAGCCAAGCTGACAGGCTCAGGGTGGCCCACTGGACACCAGGGCTGGCTCCCACCCAGCTCCACCTCAGCAGTCTCTAGCGCCAGCATCTAGGATCTGGAGAGGAACCGAGGACCCCAGGACAGGGCTTTGGAAGGGTTACGGCGCAGAGGCTACAACTCAGATACAGATGGGCAGGTGCTCTGGACGCTCTGGACAGTTTGGGGCGCAGGGCCTGTGCGTGGCCAAAGGCAGGACTCAGCTCTGACTCAATGACCAAGCTCATCCGGGTGGGAGCTTCCAAGTCCCTTCTTAGGTGCGTGTCTGGCACGCCTGGAATGAGCCCCCTGCCCACCCCGTGGGGGGCCCCTTACCTGGAAACTGGGCCGGGACCATGACAAAGTCGTCGGTGTCGCAGGATGAGTCCTTGCTGCTGCCGCCTGAGTCCCGGGAGCCCTGCAGGAAGCCGGCGGCCTCGGCCGGGGAGGTCAGAGTCTTCTGGAGCTCCTGCTGCATCTCCCCCAAGGACTGGGGGTCAGAGGGGAGCCCGCTGAGACTCAGGCCCAGGGCCTGGGGGAAGCGGGGCTGCTGGGGACGAGGCCAGGGCTCTATGTGATCTTCTCCCCACTGGGTCACACCTGGCCTGTGACTTCCCCACAAGGACAGTCATCTCACGCAGCCACCTGCCCCCCAGGGTGAGGAGGTGCTTCACTCCCACAAGCTCAGGCGACCCTCCACTTCTCCCTCCGTCCTGTGAAGGGTCGTACAGCCTGGTGCACTGGGGACGTGTAGAGGGGCAAGGCTGCCTGGGCGCAAGCCCTGCACCACGCTCAGCAGACGGGGCATCAGAGAGGTGTTCTCTCGGCCACCAGCCCAGCCCTGGTCCCTGCCTAGCAGGACGGACGATGGACAGGTGGAGGTTCAAGTCCCAGTGCTCCCAACCCTGCGCACAACCTTGGCAGACCTCTCCCCAGGCCTGTGCTGGGAACATGGGCTGCAGGGATCGGGTCCCAGAACACAGGGACCCCTGCACACAATCCTGCCCGGGGCCCCTGTCCGTGTCCGCTGATGCAGCCCTGAACCCGCTGATGGCCATCAGGTCAGCCTCCAGGACATGAGTGGGGAGGAGGCCCTGAAAGGGGACTTCACCCACTTCTACCCACTCCACGTCCACAAGCAGAATGTGTAAGTCTGGTGTCATCTGACCAGACAGCACTGCAGAAATAAATGTGGGGGCTGGGGTAGGGCAGAAGACCCGATGGGTTCCTGCTGCCATCTACATGCCCCAAAGCCGAGGGAGAGGAGCCCGTAGCCCCGACCCCAGGCGTGACTCACCGGCGGGGAGGCCAGGTGTGAGGTGGAGCTGCTGCTGGAGCTGCTGCCAGACCCCGAGCTCGGGTACGAGGGCACAGGCACGGGCGGGGCTGGGAGAGGGTGTGGTCCAGAGCACGTCAGCACAGGATGCTCCCCGGGCCCTGCACACTCCCACCCCGCCCATGACAACCCCATGCCGAGGACAGAAGCTGGCCGGGGCTCCACCCCATCCCCAGAGGAAGCCAGGCAGAGGACCTGTGCGAGGCCCCTGCCCCCACCTCCCCAATCCCGCTGCACCAAGTCAGCTGAGCTCGAGCCTTAGGGGCCCCTGGGGACTACAAGCTGGAGCAGTACTGGGGAGCTGGTACCCCCCAACCTCCTGGAGTGGGGCTGGAAGAAGCCCATGGGGAGAAGGGAGGCACGGGCGTCCTAGGACCCTCAGGGGACTCACATTTCTTCACAGCAGCACTGGCATCAAGAAAGGGGTGATGGAAAAACTCATCTGCAGGAGAAAGGTTGGGCCAGAGATCAGGAGGGTCCGACACCAGGGCTCCCAGGGTGAAGGCTAGGCCCCCACCATCCCTTCCCGTGGGCCTGAGCTCCAGCAGGCTCTGGCCCCTGTCCTGGCTGCCTCACCCAGGCATGGAGGGAGACAGAGCCCCAGCTGGCAGCTCTTGAACACATCTGGCACCCCCAGTGTGGCCCAAGCCTGGCTCCACCCACCTTTCCGACAGTTCCCAGCAACGCTGCCTGTTGCACAAGTGGGGGTTTTTCTATCTACACAGCTGGGAAAGGAGCTGTGCGAACGGGGAAACCCACTCACTTGTGGTCACAAGGGCCCTGGAAGCTGGGGGTACAGGATGAGGGGTGCAGGGCCAAGAGCTAGAAGGGCCCATCCCCCAGGCCTGTCAGGAGTAGGGGGGCTGGGCAGCTGGCACTCACCGAAGTCCATGCGGTCTTTGTGGTTGCGCTGAAGCAGAGCCAGGAGCAGCTGTCTCAGTGGGGCCGAGGTCTCCCGGGGGATGCTGGGGGCACAGAACACAGCATTGACAGGGCAGCCTGGTCGGGACAGAGAGGAAGCGGGCAGGAGTCTGCCGCCAGGGGAGGGGCACTCACGTGGGGACCAGCGTCTTGTTCTTCTCATAGAAGAGGCGGAGGTCCTGGGGACTGCTGGCCTGGAAAGCGGGGACAGGGGGTGAGGTGTGAGTGCCCGCTCCACAAGGCCACTGCCCACTCTGAGCCTCTGACCCTGAAAAGGTCCGTGGTCCAGCACTGCTAGCCTGTCTGTCTGAACACTGAGGGCCCTCACATGCATCCAAGGAAAGGGCGCCCCTTCTCCCCACTCAGGCTGTGGAATTGCGGGGACCCACACAAAGGCGGAGGCCAGGGGCGCCCAGAGAAGGTTGCTGGGCCTTCCACCCACCTGCTGGGGATGACTTCTGGGTAACTGCTGTAACTGGTTTGCTTCTTGAAACTGAAAAAAGTAGCCCATGCGCCAGCTCCAGAAGAGGGCCCCAGAGTAAGTTCGCTCCCCAAGAGGGCCCTGCCTCCCTTGGTAACACATGGCTGGCACATGCGTGTTCATTAATCATTCACTGAGCCCTGTAATGTGCCAGGCACTGTTCCAGGCATGAGGGTACAACATTCCTAAGGCCAGCATGCCAGCCAGGGACAGCCCTGTGCTTGCCCACATGGGGAAAACAGTAGGCAGGGGGAGGGAGCGGCGGGTGGAGGCTAGCCTAGGTCACTGGGCACAGAGGCTCTGGGGCAAGCTGGTGGCAAAGGAGAGCTGCCAGGTCAGGCCATGGGGTCACTGCAGGATGCGTGTCCCTGTGGGGTGGGCTCAGATGCATGAGCCTCTGGGGTCCAGCGCAGGACAGGCCACTGCCTTCCAAATGTAGGGTACACCCCAGAGCTTGGGGTCCTGGTATCAACGTCCTGGCTCACTCCGGCACTGGAATGGGTGGGAGGGAGGCCATGACACTTGGTTCAGACATACACATGGACACACACAGGAGTGCCCCAGAGCCAGTGGAGACTCCAGCCTTGGCTCTAAGCAGGATAGGGCCCTGAAGTGACTGCACAGTGGGAAGCTGGGTGACCACGTCATGCAAGTGGAGAGGAGGCTGCAGGATTGTAATGACCCACGACTATGGCAGGCTGCAGAGATGAGCACGCCCACACCTGCACCGGAGCCCTCTGCCCTGGACCCCTCACCTGGAACGGCGCCTTCCCCGTCAGGCACTGGTACACGATGGTGCCAATGCTCCACAGGTCTGCCTTCCCGTCATAGTGCTGGGACATGATGACCTCTGGGGCCTGCGGGGTGTACAAGTTTGTGTGGCAAGCATGGACACTGAACTGTGTTGACCAAAGTCTGCCTCTAGCCAGGCGTCAGCCAATCAGAACATTTACCAGCCAGGTGCCACCCAGTCAGAACAGACACCAGCCAAGTGTCAAACGCCATAGACATGGCGGGGAACAAATGGTACATCCATGTTGGCTGCCACCCAAGGTGAGACCACAGGATGGGGCTCAGCTCTGGACACGAGAGGGAACCCCACTCCCGTGTGGATGGAGGCCCCCTTTGACAGGACAAGGCAGCAGGGGCTGGGGGTATCCACCTACCATGTACATGGGGGAGCCACAAAGCGTGGCTGCCATCATGTTGCTCTGCAGGTACCGAGCGAAACCGAAGTCGGCTGCAGGCAAGGAGAGATGTGTGAGGAGGGTGGCTGAGGCCCCTGGGCCCCCCCGGCCCCAGCCACCCCGCCTCACCAATCTTGACCCGGATGTTGTTGGGGTTGGCACGGCGCCCGCCAGGGTTGGACAGCAGGATGTTCTGGGGCTTCAGGTCCCGGTGGATGATGCCCTTGCTGTGGAGGAGCCGCATGGCGCCCGCAATCTGCTGCAGGAAGAGCCGGATGGTGTCCTCGCTTAGTGTTCGCATGGCTGCAGGGAGACAGGGTTCAGGCGGATGCAGCTCACCCGGGCACCCAGAGTGAGGGGCCTCCTCCAGCTCCCCTGCGGTCTCTGAACCCATCCTTCACACCACCTGACCCTGAGCTGCTCCAGGGTCCCCTCCCCACCTGCCAGCTCCATGGTGTTGCCCAGTGCACCCTGCCCCTTCTCAGGTTAGGGCCACTTCTCAGCAGCTTCCTCCACCTACTGCTCAGGACAAACACCGTGGCCAGCGGCTTCTTGACAAGCCCCAGGTCCAGCTTCAACCAGTGAAGGGCTGATCCAACAGGTGAGAGAGTAGCTCCCCACTTTTGCCAGGACCCTGGGGAGGCCTGCCCCTTGTGGATAGCCAGGGATCTCTGGAGTCCAGAGCACTCAGGACAGGCCTGTCTCCTGCAGAGTCGCCAACCAGCGGCCACAGGGACACCCCGCAGGGCACCACACCCCAGCAGACTGAATGGAACCCAGCTCAAGAGTGACCCTTCCAGACCAAGTCCGCCCTGCAAGGCCATCCCTCATGGTTTTGACATAGCATGTAACCCTAACAGGGCTCCAGTTCCCATTCCATCCTTCCCAGCAGGCGCCGCCACCATTAGGCCTAAGAGAGCTCGTTCACACCAGGCCACCTCTCACACTGGGTCAGGGCGAGCCCCAACGTGCAGCCCACCCAGCCATGGGTGTCCACTCACTGTGCAGGTAGTCGGCCAGATCCCCGCCGTTACAGTACTGCAAAAGACCAGCCGCGTGTCTTAGTCAGCTGCCAGGGGAGACCCCGCAGCCCAGCCCAGGTCTCCCCATCACCCAACCCCAGGACACCTGCTCCCCTGGCACTTGGGGCAGACGTGCCCTGCAACTCTCAAGGAGGTCAACAGGGACGCTCACCACCCCTTCAGCCCCTGCTGTGGCCGCTGGGGTGATAGGCCCACAGACACGAGGACTACTTCTAACCCCCTGATGAGAAGGGGCCTGCAAACCAGGAGGGCCCAGCCTCCCAGTCCTCACAGCTGGCCGCCAGGACTCACCTCCATGACCAGGTAGACGGAATTGGCCATTTCCTGCAGGACACAGAAAAGGCAGTGAGAGGTGGTGGGGAGCATGCCCAGTCCCCCAGTCTGGCAACCTTCTGGGAAGCCTGGCTTAGCCCCAGTGTGACCTGGGCGCCCGGCCTCTGCAGCTGCCCTCAACACACCGCCTGGGCTCCAGCAGTGGCTCCAGGGGTCATGCCAGGGCTCAGCCAGTTGGTTAGTGACCAGGACATAAGGACATCTGAGGGCCAAGTGAGCTGAGTGAGAGGAGGAGGAGCCATTCACATCACTCTGTTCGTCAAGGCTCGGAAAGGGGCTGAGGTCCCAGGAGAGATGTCAGGGCTGGAGTGACAACCCCACCTTCCAGGGAGGGCCCCCAGCAACCCCAGAACTCCAACAGGGTCAGGGTCAGCTCCAGCCCTGAGGTCCTGACCAGACTTCCCGTCCTATTGAGTGGCGAGTTGTGGCCGAGTAGACCCACCTGGTGGGGGACCCAGGCCTGCAAAAATGACACAACTGGGATAGGAGGGCCTTGTCTCTTGGGCCAAGGCAACTTCTCCTGCCTTCAGACTCAAAGATGCCAAAAGGATTACAGGTCAATGCTGCCAGCCCACTGCTGGCCAGGAGCACCAGGCCAGCTTCCAGCTCAGCCCTTGGCCACCCATGGCCTCGAAGAGACACCGGCATCCTTGGCTTGGTCCACACCTGCAGGACTGAGGGGCCTGTTGCCTGGGCTAGTGTGGAACCCCCACCAGTATCCCTACGGGAGGTGCCCTTGAGATCCCAGGTCACTGATGAGGAAACAGGCTGCAGAAGCCAAGTCAACCAGGCACGTGTGAACCTGACCTCTCTGCTCTCCTGCAGACCATCCCCTCCAATCTTCTCCAGGTGGGGTTTTCCCTAACTGCGGGGGCTCTGCCAGTCAGGACAAGGTCCCCAAGCCCCTTCAGCAGAAGTACGTTGCAGGGTCTTGGAAACCAGGAAGAGCCCCACCCCTGTACGCCCCCCGCCAAAACCACCAAGTCCTCATTCCCTCCCAGCATGCTACTCACAGGAACTCCAACTTCTAACCCACCCCCCACCCCCATGCAAGGGGGCAAGTGTGTGAGCTGGCCCTGTAGCTCTCAAGGCAAGGCTCTCCCAAGGGGGAGGTGGCTGCAGGAGGGACATTTCTCAGTGACCTCTTGGGGAGGGCACCCAAGGCCCAGATAGACTTAACCCCTCAGCAGCGGGCCACCGCCTTCCACCCCTACTCAGGTCCCAGACATGTCCCCATTCCACCCAGCAGGACGGAGGACCCTGACTCAGTCACCCTGCCCCCAGGAGGTTGGTTCCGGGCTCAGCTCCACACCAACAGGGAAACAAAGCCACTAGTGACACCCCCTGTGTAAATGTCAGTGCCCTGTAATAAGACAACCCCTCCACCCCGCCTCCAGCGCCCTACCAACAGAGGGCCTGTGGGTCTGGTGTGGAGATACCCCAGGGAGCAGGGATGAGGTTAACACAGAAACCTCTTGGTGCTGGCTGGGGCCCGGATCAAGCCCAATTCCACACATTCCCACCCCGCCTCCCCAGGCTGGTGACTCTCTGTGTCCCAGCAGGCATGCAAGAAGCCTCCAAAGTGCCCAGCTGGGGCTCCTCCGGGAGGGGGGCAGGCTCTGTCCACAGATGTCCACAGGGGCCCTGCCCCTCCCCCCAGGAGTGAGAGCGTGGGAGCTGCCTGCAGGCCCCTCCCTCCCAGGCCAGCTGTGGGCAGAGATAACTCAGGGTAGGGGCGGGAGGGAGTCCCAAGAGGTCACACGGGGACTGGTTGGGGGGGCCCAGGCCAGGGGGGGAAGGCACACAGAGAGATGGGGGAAAGAAAGAGGGAGATCATGACAGAGGAAGGCACATGGAGGCTCAGGAGCAGAGTTGGAGACTCCCAGCAGAGGACCCAGCAGAGGGTGGAGGGAGGAGCCAGAGATAAGAACCCAGAAATAACCCCGGAGATGGGAACACCCACTCCCCGTGACACCCAGGCCACCTGCTCCCTCACCTGCTGTCACCCTGACCACGGCCACCTCTGCGGACCTGCTGAGCAGGCTCCCAAACTCACTCAGCGGGGAGCACCCTTGTCTCCAGTGGCCCAGAGGCTCGGCCCCTCACCTGGGCCGCGCAGCCAAAGGGGCAGCAGAGTGGGTACTCAGGGCCCCTGCTCCCCAGAAAAGCCCCCAACTCACCCACCGAGCCAGGGACTGATTGACAAGGACAGGAGACAGATGCAGCATCCATGCCCACGGGGTATCTGTCCCGAGAGAGTCACCCAGGCCTGGCAGTAATGGTGCCACCACCATGCCTGCTTGGGGATGAGGGGCCGCTGACTGGGAGATGCACTCCACACCGCCTGTCGTCCCCCAAATCTGGGTGCACCCACACCTCACGATCACCTCCTCACCAGGATGTCCCTGTGGCCTCAGTGACAACATGCTTTTGCACCCAAGAATCCACGGGACCCCCATTCCCACCATACCTACTCCAGCCAGGGAGCTTCCAAATGTAAGCCAGATGCACCCCCTCCCGAGGTGCCAGCCCACAGGGCCCGCTGCCCTGCGGCTCCTAGGCCTGGGGCCTGCCCCATACCCCACAGGTCCTACTGGGCACAGAGGGTCAAGGCTGGGGGGCGGAGGGAGTCACACCCACCAAACCTCACCATGTGGGATTCAAGCCTAGCGTCAGAGGGCCCCTTAGGCCAGGGCCTGTCTCCCCGCCAGTGGCATCAGCTTGTAAGGCACTGAACCAGCCGGCTGGCACAAGCCTCGGCCATTCCCTGAGGTCAGGAAACGTGCCCAAGGCCCTGCCACCTCTCATGCCAACCCCAGGCCAGGACCAACGACAGGGCTTGCAGGGCCCCCAGTGGAACAGTTTCCCAAGGAGGCTGCGTGCCCAGGCCCTCCTGCCACCTGGGGCCTCGTCGGGTGTCCCCCACCACCCACACATCCCTGAAGAATATGACTCTCTGGGTCCCCTGGGGGAAGAGAGGTCAGGGCGGCCTCAAGGACACAGCTGGTCAGCCCCTGGCAGGCTGCTGCCCACCCAGAGCCTGAAAAGGTTCTGCCTCAGCCTGCCTCCTCATAAGCTAAATTTGGTCTTCACAAACTCCCCCAGGGAGTGGGGGCCAAGCCGGCTCCAGAGGGCAGGCCTCCTCCTTAGAGGTCAGTCCAGACTCAGTCTAGACTCCTGACTGCCTTCTGGGGCTGCAGTGATCGCCGGAGAGAGAGAAGGTAGGCAGATGAGCATGACCAGCCATACTCTTGTCCTCAGGGGTCCGTTACATCATTAACACAAAAATACCCACACGACTGAGGCGCTGGCCCCCCAGGCCCCGGGTCCTGCAGGGGCCACACCAGGGCCACCAGCTCTATCACGCCAGTCACCCCCAGCGCAACCTGAGGACTGGGCAGGTCCCAGTGATGTCCTCCTATTTGAGGGCAGAGAGGTCCTGCAACTCTGCTTCTCACACAACTGGCGAGGGAGGGGAAGTGCTGGGTACCGGGGTCCTGACCACACCACCGTGCGGCCCCCAAGGCAGGGGGCGGTGAGCCCCGACCTGTGCGCCTGAGGTGAACGGGCAAGGCCTTCAAGGCGGGATGACACGAACCCTCTCAGTCTCTCAGTGGTGTGCCCACAGGCCCTGGGGACAGGGTTGGCCTGGGTGTCAGGGCCAGGTGTCCTGGGCAGCCTGGCACGGGCGCCCAGGCACGTAGGAGGCTGCCCCGCCACAGGGTGCTAAGGTGCTTTGCTTAATAGGATCCAAGCTCCCGGGCTGGGCCGAGCCCACTATGTCTGGTGATCCTGGGCTGGGCCTGGTGGGCAGGTGGGCGGGCGGGCACTGACCTAGTTACCTCCTGGGGAGTGGGCTGTCTTGGCTCCCAACAAGGTGGCAAAAGCCACAGCTAGCGCCAGAACGCAGCCGCCCACGGGAGCAAGGCTGCTCCCTGCCCCCAGGCTGGGCTCTCCTGGACAGCGCCCAGACAGGAAGGGATGCCTGGCCCCACCCTGAGGAGGAAGGCCCACCCTCCGTCTGCAGGGAGCCTCCTTCAGCTTCCATTGTGTGCCTGCGGCTCCCAGGACGGGGAAGGGGAGGCTGGCTGCTCTCTCCAGCCCCCTTCTTCCCGCATGCCGGGCCTGCCCCTGGTTTGGGAAAAGCAGGGACACTTCCAGAATGGAAAACACGGAATCAACACGGTCCTCTCTGGGACGGCCAAGTCCACCCACTACTGAGCCGGGGCTCTGAAAAAAGCAAGGCCAAAGGCTGGCACTGTCCTCAAAGTTCCAACAGGGAGGCAGACCACCTCCCCTCCCTTCCCCCACCCCCGACGAGGTGTCCACCAGCCCAAAGTCACAAGAGGCTGGCTCTGTCGGCCAGGCTGGCAAGAGTGAGTCATCCAGCTGTGGGAACCAGCCAGACGGCGTGCCGGCCTCAGGAAGGCCCTCCTCCCGGGGCACGCTGGGCAGGGCTGGTCCCCAGATTCCGAGGATGGTTGCTGTTTCCAGAAAGAGCACATCTGGACACCACAGAGCAGGCTAGAGTAAGACTGAGGGCCCAACCCTCTACCCCTCAAGGAAAGGCCAGGGCTCCAAGTGTCTCCCCACAAGTCTGCAGGCCTCAGGACAGAGCATCACCCCCATCCCCCACCCCACCCCCCACCCCAGCCGGGTGCCTACCTAACACCCACCCACATCAGCCTGGCCTGACAACAGTCACTATTCCATATGGCCCCAAAACAAAAACCACCTCAACAGACGAGAGGCAACCTGAGGGGGAATATTTGTAAACTATCACAGAAGAAGGCTTTCCTTAATATATAAAGAGTTCCTACAAATCAATGATATTTATATAGCTCTTATTAAGTAGCAAGTACAGGTCTAAACAGGCTTCCCAGGTAGTACTAGTGGTAATGAACCAGCCTGCCAGTATAGGAGACATAAGAGACTCAGGTTCGATCCCTGGGTTGCTAAGATCCCAAAGAGGAGGGCATGACAACCCACTCTAGTATCCTTGCCTGGAGCATCCCATGACAGAGGAGCCTGGCAGCCTACAGTCCACAGGGTTGCAAAGAGTTGGACATGACTGGAAGCGACTTAGCATGCACAGGTCTAAGCACTTGATATATATAGACTCAAGTTGTCATCACAACCACCCTACAGTAACACAGGTGTACTGTTAAAATCTCCAATTTTCTGGGAAACAGAGGCACCAGGAGGCTGAATAATTTGCCCAAGGTCACACAGGTAAGTAAATGGGGGAGCTGGGCCCAGAAAGGCAGTATGGCACAGGGCCCATGCCATTCACCACCATGCTGTCCAGCTTTGGGAATCACAAGACCTACCGGAATACATCCCTGGACAGGAGGCATTCCTAGTGTTCATGCACACCAGGAGAGATGCTGAGCCTCACTCAAAAGTGAGAAACAAAACCATATGAGATGCCATTTTCCACCACTCAGAGAGGCCAAGATGAAACTCTGATAACAGATCTCCTGGCAAGGATGTGAGTAGACAGGCCCTCTCGCAGGCAGCACTGCTGTTTCCACAGTCCATCCTCAATGGACCACAATCTGGCAACTATTACCAACTAAAATACGCATCCTCTTACTTCTAGGAATCCACCCTGCACATACACATGGCAAAGGTGAATCAAGGAGAGTCACCACCACACTGCTGACATGTCAGAATCCCAGAATAACCCCATGTTCCATCAGCGGTGGATTGGTGAGGTCAACTGTGGAATATGGGGCCATGAACGCCCCACAGCTGCAAATAACACCCACAGTCACAATCATGAACAACACTAAGACACACAGGGCTTACTAGCACACCAGTTTCAACCAAACAACTCCAGACTCTCTTTTACAGAGAAAGAGATAGAGGCACAGAGAAATTAAGATACTTGTCCAAGGGCACACAGCTAGTTTAAGTGGCAGAACCAGGACTGGAACTAGGTCACCTAGCTTCAGAGCCTGGGCTCTGATCTTACAGAAGAAATGGGGGATAATTTTCCTGGGAGGAGAGGGGGTATCATTCCTCACCTCGGGACTGAGAGAGTTAATGTGGAGTGACACAGACTTTCTCCAAGACTTAAGCAAAAATACCACAGTAGAACAGTGGATGGTGTGGCAGCAAAAAGGTGTGTGAGGATGTGTCTTGACCCCAGTGATGTGTCTCCCACTCTGGGGTAAATGGGGCTCATTGGGGGAGGGGTGGTAGAGTCACCTTTTTCCACACCCCTTTTGTACTGCTTCTTCATTTTTGTTTTTTAAGTCAAATCATTAATTGTTTTTTAAAGCCATGATTTTCCAGGTCCCATGGGTGTCTCAATGGAGAAGGTAATGGCAACCCACTCCAGTATTCTTGCCTGGGAAATCCCAAGGACATAGGAACCTGGCGGGCTACAGTCCATATGATCACAAGAGTCGGATATGACTTAGCAACTAAACAAAGCATGTCTCAGACTGGTGTCTAAGGACTTGGGGAGCCACCTTACACTCCGAGGGCTGACAGCACAGAGCCCCAGGCGAGAAGTCTGGAAAGGAGAGGCTGGCTGGCCTCTAAGCACTTCCTCTGCACAGGGGAAGCCACAGCATTGCCAGCCCTGGAGGAAGTGGCACTGCCCACAACCAGGTGTGTGGCCCAGCCAGGATGGAAAGAAGGGAGAGACGTGTGTATGTGTGTGTGTGTGGAGCGGGGGTGGGTAGGGAAGAGTGGGAGAGGAAAAAGAGGAGCAGGAGACAGGAGGCCGCCCTCTTAGCCCCAGGACACAGCTTCCAGGCACTTGCTCTCGCTGTCACATTGGACATGGGCCCTCCCCAAGTCACCTCATGTCATGCCACAGCACCCAAGGCCACAGCCCAGCTCTGAAGAGGGAGGGAGAGGACAGGGCAGGAGGGAGGAGGCCACCAAAACACAGTCGGGCTGGGAACTTCCCCTCAGCCAGGGGCTGGTCCCGTGGCCTCAGTAAACAGGTTTCAAAACCATTAGTCAGCACTTTGGCCCTCAGATTTGCTGCCTCAGGTTCCTTGGTCCCAAACTGGGTCTCCAGGGTCTCAGACCCAGGCCAAGGCTGGGCCCCACCGCCAGGCCCACAGGCCAGGGGCACTGGGGGAAGCTGGCCTCAGCTTTCTGGGCCAGCTAGGCCTGGGGTGGCCTCATCAGCCGGGTGCCTGCCTCCCTCCTGCCTCCTGGCTGGGTGGCTGGCCCCAACCGCCAGCAAAAAGGAATCTCCCTTGGCTCCTCCCCTCCCCCAGTCTGACGCAGGGAGACACTGGCCAATGCCAGGCCACTGGAGTAATGTCAACAAACAATCGGGCGGCCCAGACAGGTGGTCCAGGCCGGCAGGATAGCCCTGGGCCTGGGCTGGGGACAGGACTCACCTTTGGGACCACTGGGTCAGACACTTCCGGAGGGCCACACAATAGCCAGACCTCGCTCGGTGGAAGAGTGCTGGTGCCCATGGCAGTTCATGGGCCAGGGAGGGTGGGAGCTCTCCTAACATGCCCAGAGGAAGCTCAGACCCAACAACTGGGCTGAAGGTGGGGTCTCCAAGGTCCCATCAGGCCTCCAACACCCATCCACACATGAAGGTGCCCAGCTCCTTTCTCCAACACGAGATGCTAGAACAATCTACTGGCCTAGAACAATCTACTCCTGACAGGGTCTCCAGCAGTTAGCTGGCCTGGGAACGGGAGTCACCAGGGCCTGAGGCTGCGCTGGGGCCAGCCTGGGGGGAGCACACCCCCTCCCCACCACAACCACAGCCCCAAGCCTTACCTGAAAGTCGTACAAAGCTACGATGTTTTCATGTTTCAATTCCTAGGACAGAAAGCCAATTTCCGGTGAGTGAGGTGGACTCACCCACCACCCTCGCCCCTCCGGCTTCTGGTGTCGCTCACCTTGAGGATCTTTATTTCCTTCCCTAGGAGAGTCTGAGACTTGGCGAGATTCTTCTTATTAATGCACTTGACCGCGACCTCCAGGTCGTGTTTCTGAAAACCAAGCGTGGGTGTCCCTCAAATGCCGAGAACCTGGCAACCCCTTGAAGGCCTTGCCCAAGCCAGGTAAGCACCTGGTAGGTCCCTGGAGATGACCGGTCAGGAGTGTATGAGAGGGATACGGTCCCCGGGCTGTAGGGTGGAGATGAGGGAACGCCTGACTATGTACATGAGGGGTCCCCGGCGGGATGAGGGGGTTTCTGGGATGTAGAAGTGGAGACGGGGGTTGCCCGGCGGTAGGGATAAGGGGGTCCCTGGAGCTGAAGGTGGGGGGACCCCGTGGGGGGACCCCCGGGGCGGGGGGCCGCCCTCTCCAGGGCTCTGCCCGGGCTCGCCTGCCCCTCACCTCGCGGTGGCGCCCCTTGAAGACCACGGCGAAAGCGCCGTGCCCAATCAGGTCCTTGCGAGAGAACTCGAACTTGCCCACGGCCTCCAGGCCGCCGCGGCCGGGCTCCATGGCGCGGGCCGGGCCAGGCAGGCCGGGGCTCAGGCGACGGCACAGACCGGGGGCGGTAGGCAGGGGGCGCACCCCATCGGGCAGCCCGGGATGCGGACGCGATTCGACTCCAACCCGTTCCTGACCCGGGATCAGACCCTAGCTTTGGGTCCGACTAGGGCTCCGGCGGGGAAACAAAAGAGCCGCTGCCGCCGGGGCCCGGAGCCTGAGACGCCCGCGCAAGCGCATTGAGCGCCGGGTGGGGCGGGGCCTGGGGGCGGGTCTGTCCAGGAAGGGGCGGGGACTGGTGCGTGTCTGGCCTGGGAGGGGCGGGGCCTGGCCGGCGGCCGCGCTTAGTAGGTGGTGGAGCCGGTTTTGGAGCGGAGCCATAGTGGGCGGGTCCTATTAGGGGAGGGACCTATCGGATGGTTAGGCGGGGACAGTAACAGGCCCTCCCCTTTGTGAATGGCATGGGAGCTACAAGCTTGGGCATAGGCCAAGATTGGTCCTCCAGCCAGTTCTTCTCCAGCAGCCTTGCACTACGTCCTTTGTTTGTATACCCGAGCGGTGCACATTTGCCATAGTCGCCATTAAGACCTGGGACGTGTTCTGCGTACCCCAGGGCTGGGGATTGGATAGAATAAATTCTTCGAAAAACAGCTACTGCATTGCAGGTTAAACATTTAAAATTGTGCTCAATAGTTACAAACTTTCCCCTCAAACTGCACCAAACTGAAGAAATAGCCCAGAAGTCCTAAAGGTTAGGTCAATCCTAGTGCATCTTTTCCACTGAATAATACACAGCAGATTCTTAAAGGCAGAGGTGGTCAGATAAAAAGTGCTCCAGGACTTCCCTGGTGGTTCAGTGGTTAAGACTCTACCCTTCCGCTACAGGGGTTTAAATCCCTGCTTGGGGAAGATTCCACATGCCATGGATCTTGGCCAAAAAAAAGTGCTCCAAAGTATATAATTCAACGAAAGCAAGATTTCGAACAATGAACTGGTCACTCTCATTTTAGAAAGTCACTGGAGAAGGAGATGTGTATACAATACCTACAAATGTATACACATATTCGTATACATATATAGAGGGCTTTCCAGGTGGGACAATGGTAAAGTATCCTCCTGCCAATGCAGGAGAAGAAAGAGATGCAAGTTCCATCCCTTGGTTGGGAGATCCCCTGGAGTAGGAAATGGCTATCTGCTCCAATATTTTTGCCTGGAAAACTCCTTGGCCAGAGGGGCCTGATGGGCTATACTCCATGGGGTCGCAAAGAGTCAGACATGAAAGCAACTGAGCACATACAGGTATAGGGTACTTAGTACTATATGTATGTATATACAGTACATTGTATAATTTATAACAGCTAACTATTGCTTACCACATGCCAGGCTATTGTCTTTTTATATATTAATACATTTTTCTTCACAGTGATTCCATGAGGTACTTACTATTAAATCCCTGTTTTATAGATGAGAACATTGAAAGCCCAGAGAGGTTATGTAGTAGGCTCAAAAGTCACATAGCCGACAAGAGTCTGGATTCTCACAGGAGAAACTGTTAACAGCAGTTGCTTTGGGAAGAGTAAGTCCTTTTCACCTTACTCCTTGAGTACTAGTGTGAATTGCTCTTATCACCTTCAAGTATTGCTTTTGGAAATGCAGAATCTTCAACAATCTTTGTTGCCACTCCCAATCTTCAGTAATAGCCCTGGATGGTTGCATCAGCCATCAGAATGCAGTTCTGAGGGGTAGGCTCCCAGGCCACTCAGAGAGGAACCCCACTCCAAGCCTCAGGACGTGCGGGCTCTCTACCCTGGACTGGGGCCAGAGGCCATCAGAACGGGACTGGACAATGGGCTATCTTTGTTTTCCAAGAACCAGGTATTGCAGTGCCACGTGGTCAGCCATAGCCTGCTTTACCTCCTCATCTGTCCCCCCACTTCATTCATTGACTATTTAATGCCAGGAGTTGCCACAGGACAAAAAGAGAGAATCCCCCCTTCAAGACCTTCCTTTTTAAAAATATATAATTTTATTTATTTATTTTATTTTTGGCTATGCTGGGTCTGTGTTGCTTCATGTGGCCTTTTCTCTAGTCGTGGCGAGCAGGGGCTTTTCTGTAGTTGCGGTGGGTGTGCCGGCTTCTCATCGCAGTGGCTTCTCCTGTTGCAGAGCATGGGCTCTAGGTGCTCAGGCTTCAGCGGCTGCGGTGCATGGGTTCTGGTGCATGGGTGGCTCCTGGGCTCTGAAGTACAGGCTCAGTAGTTGCGGCACATAGGTTTAGTTGCTCCGTGGCATGTGGGATCGTCCCAGACCAAGGATGGAACCCATGTCACCTGCATTGGCAGGTGGATTCTTTACCACTGAGCCACCAGGGAAGCCCAAGACCTTGCTGTTCAGTGGCTGGGGCTGGGAAACAAGATGAGCAATGACTGCAGAAAGAGTTGTAAAATTTCAACCCAGGAAAGTGAAGAGAATGAGCAGGGCAGACAGGAAGGGCTAAGATTGCTAGAAAGAGTCCAGCCCACCCTGGGAAGGAGATCTTTACCCTTAGCTTGTGAATTGATGGGGTAGAAGTTAGGAGGGGGCAGATGAGATGAAATATGCATCTGGAAAGTTTTCTAGGCCCTCGAGGGAGGAAAAGGGGGGAGGTTAGGTGTGCTTGATCCCCATGGCCTTGGGTCCTGCAGTAGCTCAGGCTGCCACCCTCCTCTGTGGGACATGACCACCATGGTCTGTGCCAAGTCCATCCTCATTATTCAGATTCCATATTTACATATTTGCCTATTTATTAACTTTTTAAAATAACTTTCAAATCCATACTTATATGCTTTCACGGGCAAAACGTTTGAGTCTCCTGAGGCCCTCATGCCCTCCTGAGAGTGAGGGAGGGGACTGCCTTATGCTGGCAGCTCTCACATTGCAAACAGGTGTTCTGTGAGCTACTTAGGGCCACACTCCTTGAATCTTTGTGCTTTTTCTTGGTGATTTCACTGTTTAAAGTGAAATAATATTAATGAATCAACAGCCTGTATCAAATAAGAACAAAAACACACATAAAGACAACATGATGGATTGAACAGTTGGCAAAAATGTGATTGGAGGGTGGCAGGAACCTAACTCTATATTTTTTCCTGGAGCAGATCCTGAATCTTGTTAATCCTGTGTTTGTGGCAGCGTCTTAGAGCATAGGTACTGTTGACTGAAAAAAATGCACAACCTAAAATTTGAGAGTTATGCTTTATTTAAAGGACAAACTGAGGAGTTAAGCCTAGGACATGGTATCTCAGATAACTCTGAGAGGGGACTGCTCCAAAGAGGCAAAGGGGGAGCCAGGATACATAGGAGACTTGCAACAAAGAGCAGGTAATTGGAACATCAAGAGATTACTCTTCATTAAGGAAAACCAGATATCTCAACTTAAGGAATTTAGCACTTTTCTGTGTATGGGAAGACGCAAAGTCTGAGCTCATTGAAATCATTCCTTTCATGTGTACTCCAGCAATCTGGGGCCTGTATCCTGTGCATTTCAGCCCAAGTTGCCTCAGAGTGCCCCATCTGGGCAGCTGTAATGTGATTGGCTGCAATACCCTTTGTTTACTGAAGGATCTGGCAGGTGACAGTTTTCATTCCCAGTACCTTGAACCATGAGAATCAACTATCCTTGCTATACTCAGGATAGTATATGAGTTATAGGAGGTAACTCATGCCCACATCAACCCTTTGGAGGTAGACTCCTATGGTCTGTGGAAGTGGTGCCTCTCCACTGTAAGCCCTTGCTCCTCATCCTTCTGGGTCTCCAAACCTCCAAAAGTGAAACTCGCTCCATCGTGCCCAACTCTTTGTGACCCCATGGACTGTAACCCATCAGGCTCCTCTGTCCATGGAATTCTCCAGGCAAGAATATTGGAGCAGGTAGCCACACTGACCCACTCCAGTACTCTTTCCTGGAAAATCCCATGGACGGAGGAGGCTGGTAAGCTGCTGTCTGTGGGGTCGCTAAGAGTCGGACGTGACTGAGCGACTTCACTTTTCACTTTCATGCATTGGAGAAGGCAATAGCAACCCACTCCAGTGTTCTTGCCTGGAGCATCCCAGGGATGGGGGAGCCTGGTGGGCTACCGTCTGTGGGGTTGCACAGAGTTGAACACTACTGATCTGATGCAACTTAGCAGCAGCAGCCGCCATCCCTTTCTCCAGGGGAATCTTCCTGACCCGGGGGTCAAACCTGGGTCTCCTGCATTGCAGGCAGATTCTTTACCATCTAAGCCACCAGGGAAGCCCCCCAAACTTCTGAAGGCAAGGATTAAATCCTGTTCATCTCTGACCTTCAGTGGTTAGCTCAGTGCCCAGCAATCAGTAAAGAAACTTGCTGAAAGAATGAAGACCACCTCCTACTTGCTTACTCAATACACAAAACACACCACCTTCCATAGAGGTGCCACCTGCCCACCCAGACAGGACTCCAGTATGGCTGCCACCTTCTGTGAAAGGAATAGTGAACAGGTGTTATTTCAAAGGGACTATTGGTGGCTCCTCACAGCCTTAAGCTTCAGAGTTCTTAAGAGTTCTGTGATTGATTAGTAGTGTCTGTCACTGGTGAGGGGAGAGGGGATCGTGTGCCTTAAAACAGATGGAGGGCTCATGTCATCGTGACTTCACCAGTGTAATTTTCAAGAAGTTAAAAACTCTTAAAAAAAAAAAAAAACTCTTAAAAAGTGGGCTAGATGTCTAGTTAATTCCATAATGAGGGAACCAACCAGATAGGAAAGATGGTTTCTGGGTGAAATTTGAGGAATTGGTTATTTACAGGATTTGAAAAGAAGAATTTAGAATAAGATGGGTCGGTCACATTCAGGACTGGTTATTGTTTCACAGGGTAAAACCTTAACCTTTGATTATCTTTTCTATTTCAGAGAAATCATTTATCTTCTGTTTGACAGAAACCTGAAAGTTAACATGGAGATGTCATAGACCCTTAGCTTTCACTCTATAGTCAACAGAAAGGTAAACACAGGTGCAAAACCCCTGCAACAAGGATCGCAAACTTATGGTCTAAGGGACCAAATCCAGCCCTCCTCTTGTGTTTTTCTTTCTTATTATTTTTTAATAGTTTTAAATATACATAACTTAAAATTTGCCATCTTAAATTAACCATTTTAAAGTGTACAATTCAGTGCAGCCATCGCCACCATCATCTCCAGAATTTTTTCATCTTCCCAAACTGAAATTCTATTCCCATTAAATACTAATGTGCCACCCCGCAAAAAACCAACTAACACCCCTGGAACCCACCATCCCATTTTCTGTCACTGTGGATTTGACAGTTCTAGGTACTTCATCAGACTGGAATCCTACAGTCTTTTAACATCTGCCTTATTTCCCTTAGCATAATGTCCAAAAGTTTCATCTGTGTTGTAGTGTGTGTCAGAATTTCCTTCTTTTTAAAAGCTGAACAATATTCCGTTGTAGGTATATACTACATTTTGTTTACCCATTCATCCACTGATGGACACTTGGGTTGCTTCCACATTTTAGCTATTGTGGATACTGTGGCTATGGATATGATGAGTGTGTTTGTGTCTGTTCCAGATCTTGTTTTCAATTCTTTTAGCTATATACCCAGAAGTAGGGTTACTAGTAATTCTATTTTTAGTATTTTGGGGAGCCACCATACTGGTTTTCACTGAAGCTGCACCATTTTACATTCCCATCAGTAATCACAATCTCTCCGCATCCTCACCAACACTTACTGTTTTCTGCTTTTTTAAAAACAGCTGTCCTAGTGATTGTGGTTTGTCACTGTGGTTTTGATTTGCATTTCCTTAATGATTAGTGATGTTGAGCATCTTATGTGCTTATTGGCCATTTGTTTATCTTCTTTGGAGAAATGCCTACTCAAGTCCTTTGACCAGTTTCTAATTGGATTATTTGAGTTGTAGTTTTTTTTATACTTTCTGGAGATCAATTGCCTACCTTGGTAAATAAAGTTTACTGAAACACAGCCACAAAAAAAAAAAAAAGAAAGAAACACGGCCACACCCACTTGCTTATTTATTGTCTCTGGCTGCTTCCAAGCTGTACCTGGAAAGCTAAGTGGCTGCAAAGATGGCTGTGTGACCCACAAAGCCATATTTTCCATCTGGCCCTTTACAAAATGAGTTTGGTAACCCTAGCCTTGAATTATTAAGTAATCCTTCACTGATGCTCCAACAGGACCACAAAAGAGCATGGTGAAGTCATTACTGACAAGTTTGGGGTCATTTTTCCAAAGAGTGGTAGACACAAACAAAACCTAGGAGTTTCTGTCTGTATCACCCCAGTCTGTGATGCCCACAGATAAATCTGCTCCTCAAATTCCAGTGAAACACTACTTGCTGATGGCCCTCCTCCTCCTCTAGCCCTGATCCCTCCCCCAACGTGGGTTGGACAACTGAATGGATGACAGTGCCTGGGTGGGTCCCCTCCAGGCACAGGGTGGAGGCTGGTGTAGCCACTTAGGTCCTCAGGAACCTGGGTTATCTCACCCAGGATAATAAAGAGGATTAATTAGAACAATGTAGACAGCCTGCTTCCTCAAGAGGAGTGCCCTAGAATGCCACCACCTCCAAGCTAATTCCAGCCAAGAGAGCACACTGCTGAAGGGAGAGCGAGTGATCTCATCCAGGAAAGATCTTTGTCCTCCCCTAGGGGATGTTAAGCAAAGCTTCCCAGGACCTAGGCTCATTTCAGGGGCTTCAGACTTTGCTTAAACATCAGCAGGGCAGAATGGCTTTTACCCCGGGGCCAGTATTGGTTCTAAGCTCAGTATTGGGCAGGATGAGAATTTGAAGGGGTCCCTGGGACATGGAACAGCAGACTGGTTCCAAATAGGAAAAGGAATACGTCAAGGCTATATATTGTCACGCTGCTCCTGTAACTTATGTGCAGAATACATCATGAGAAACGCTGGGCTGGATGAATCACAAGCTGGAATCAAGATTTCCAGGAGAAATACCAATAACCTCAGATATGCAGATGACACCACGAAGAAGAACTTAAGAGCCTCTTGATGAAAGTGAAAGAGGAGAGTTGAAAAGTTGGCTTAAAGCTCAACATTTAGAAAACTAAGATCATGGCATTCGGTCCCATCAGTTTATGGCAAATAGATGGGGAAACAGTGGCAGACGTCATTTTTGGGGCTCCAAAATCACTGCAGATGGTGACTGCAGCCATGAAATTAAAAGACGCTTGCTCCTTGGAAGAAAAGTTGTGACCAAACCTAGACAGCATATTAAAAAGCAGAGACATTACTTTGCCAACAAAGTTTTGTCTAGTCAAAGCTATGGTTTCTCCAGTAGTCATGTATGGATGTGAGAGTTGGATTGTAAAGAAAGCTGAGCGCCAAAGAACTGATGCTTTTGAACTATGGTATTGGAGAAGACTCTTGAGAGTCCCTTGGACAGCAAGGAGATCCAGCCAGTCCATCCTAAAGGAAATCAGTCCTGAATATTTATTGGAAGGACTGATGTTGAAGCTGAAGTTCCAATACTTTGGCCACCTGATGCGAAGAACTGACTCATTTGAAAAGACCCTGATGCTGGGGAAAGATTGAAGGCAGGAGGAGAAGGGGATGACAGAGGATGAGATAGTTGGATGGCATCACGGACTCAATGGACATGAATCTGAGTAAATTCCGGGAGTTGGTGATAGATGGGGAGGTCTGGCGTGCTACAGTCCATGGGGTCACAAAGAATCAGACAGGACTGAGTGACTGAACTGAACTGAACTGAACTGGGTGAACCTCAAGGCCATACCCACCATGGCTTCTCAGCCAATCTCTTCCAGCTCCAAGCCCAGAGGGAAGGGCTACACCTGTGACCCCCAGGCAGGGAACACTAAACATAAACTTACCTTGCTGTTTTAGTTGCTCAGTCCTGTCTGACTCTGAAACACCATGGACTATAGCCCACCAGGCTCCTTGTCCATGGCGTTTCCCAGGCAAGAACACTGAAGGGTCCCATTCCCTTCTCCAGGGGATCTTCCCGGCCCATGGATCGAACCCGCATCTCCTGCACTGGCAGCTGCATTCTTTACCGTGGAGCCGCCAACGAAGCCCTCAACTTACCTTACTACCCAGCAATCCACTCCTAGATGTTTACACAGAGTCCCTGATGGGAAATGTTATTTACAGCTTTATTCAGAGGAGCCCAGAGGTGGAAACAAAGGTCCCTCAACAGGTGAAGGCAGACACAGAGGAGTATATCCACACTCTGGAGTGAAGAGAAAAAGCATCTGGTCCATGCAACCGTGTGGGTGAGACTTGACAGCCTGGATGCAGAGCGGGGGGAGCCAGACACAGAAGACCTCTCCTGCAGTGACTCATCCTGTGTGGAATTCATCTGTCAGAAACTGGATCACTTGTTGGTTGTCTGGGTTGGGAGGATTGACTGAGAAAGGACAGGTGGGACCTTTTTTTTTTTTTTTCCATTTATTTTTATTAGTTGGAGGCTAATTACTTTACAACATTGCAGTGGTTTTTGTCATACATTGAAATGAATTAGCCATGGGTTTACATGTATTCCCCATCCCGGTCCCCCCTCCCACCTCCCTCTCCGCCCTATCTCTCTGGGTCTTCCCAGTGCACCAGCCCGAGCACTTGTCTCATGCATCCAACCTGGGCTGGTGATCTGTTTCACCCTAGATATACATGTTTCAATGCTGTTCTCTTGAAACATCCCACCCTCGCCTTCTCCCACAGAGTCCACAAGTCTGTTCTATACATCTGAGTCTCTTTTTCTTTTCTTGCATATAGGGTTATCGTTACCATCTTTCTAAATTCCATATATATGTGTTAGTATACTGTAATGGTCTTTATCTTTCTGGCTTACTTCGCTCTGTATAATGGGCTCCAGTTTCATCCATCTCATTAGAACTGATTCAAATGAATTCTTTTTAATGGCTGAGTAATATTCCATGGTGTATATGTACCACAGCTTCCTCATCCATTCGTTTGCTGATGGGCATCTAGGTTGCTTCCATGTCCTGCCTATTATAAACAGTGCCGTGATGAACATTGGGGTGCACGTGTCTCTTTCAGATCTGGTTTCCTCGGACAGGTGGGACCTTGAAGGTGACAAATGTTCTATAGTAATTGGGATGGTGATAGATACAGGGCTTTATACTGTTCTCAAAACCCTTGAAATGTCAGTATTTCTTAAAGATCTTTTGATGCTGACCATTTGTAAAGTCTTTATTAAATTTGTTACAATATTGCTTCTGTTTCTTATGTTTTCATTTTTTTGACCAGGAGTCACAGGGGATTTCAGTTCAGTCAGGAGTCAAACCCATAACTTCTGCATTGGAAGGCAGATTCTTAACCCCTGGACTGACACAGGAGAGAAGAGGGCAGGACACAAAGAATGACATAGAAAGAATGACATAGCCCGAGGACACAACAGAAACTGATTGAATCAAATGGGATCAGGATGGCAGTCAACTCTGAAGACACCTAGGTCCTTTACATGCTCATTCTAACACATCAGCTAGTTAAATGACACATCCAGAGGTGCCATGACAGTTCCAAGGCCAAAAAGACCATCAAAGACCAAAAACTCGGGGGTGGCCCAATTCCTGGACATCTTCCCCTCTCCCCAGATGATTGGAATAATCCTCCCACTCATTAGCCTATGAAATTACCCAGCTCATAAAAGCTAACCACACCACATTCCGAGGCCACACTCACCTTCTGAGATGTCTGTGGAATTTGTTTCTCTTCAAATAAAACCACGTCTTATCTATCACTTTGTCTCTCACTGAATTCTTTCTGCAATGAAACATCAAGAACCAGAGCTTCATTAGGTCCTGAAACTAGGTCTGTGATCTCAGTTGGAAGACTGAGTTGAGTTTTGGCTGGGTTTGAGCCCTAGCCCCAGGGGTTAGCGTCCCAAGCTGGGTTTTGGCCAGGTTCGAGTCCCAGAACATAGGTTCAAGTCCCAGTCTGAGGTAAACAGTTTCAGGACCACCAGGGAGGTCCCGAAATACAAGTATTTAATTGTGTGTGAATTATACCTCAATTTTAAAAGGAAGCACTGGGGGCTCTTCCCTGGTGGTCGAGTGGGTGAAACTCCACACTCCCAATGCAGGGGGCCTGGGTTTGATCCCTGGGTGGGGAACTAGATCCCACATGCCACAACTGAGAGTTTGCAAGCTGTAACTAAAGCTCTTGGATGCCACATATGGAAGCACTGACACACTACAGCCTGGATGAACCCAGAAAACATCCTGGGAAGTGAAAGAAGCCAGACACAAAAGGCCACATCTTGTATGCATTTATGTGAAATGTTCAGACAGGCAAATCCATGGAGACAGAGAGAGGATTGGTGTCTGGCAGGAGCTATGGGGATGGGGAGGGGCAGTGACTGCTGATGTGTATGGGGGCTTCCCACTGTGCCCACTGACACTGCCCTGGGGGGCTGGTGATGTGGCCCTAGGATACACATCAGGAGTCAGTGTCAGCGAAGGCTGGAGGGAGAAGGAGTGAGTGACTGCTGCGTCCAGTGACTCGAGCTTTACCCTGCATCTTCCCAGCCCTGAAACTCACCAGCTCCTGAGTGAGACTCAAGCTGGCTCAGGGCCGTCAGCTGGCCAGACTTGTTACTGCAGAAGTCAAAGCAGACTGCCCCAAGGCCTTCGTATCCTGCCATGTGGGTGACTCAGGCTGACATGGACAGTAGCCACCCTGCTGATGGATGACAGACAGTCAGGAGCCTTGCGGGACATCTTAAAGTCATGCCCAAGCCCCTGCCAGGCCTGGGGCAGGTACCAGGACTTGGGGCTTTCTCTAAGTCTCTGGGCCCCAACTCCGGAATCCTGTGAGCACTTGCTCTCCCAACCTGGCAAACCTGTTCTCCCTCTAGTAGCCCCAGTTTTAAGTAGCACCTAGGTGTGTCTTCTGAGGATGCCCATGCTCCTCCTGCCTCCCAACCACAACCTGCTGTCCTCTCCCTCCCCCAGTTCCATGCCCTGGCCACAAAAACCCCCTGTCTGGAGCCTGGACCACCCCAGGATCCCTTAGTCCTGCTGCCTCCTTTTCAGCCACACTCCTCAGAACGATGCTGTCTTCTTTCCTCCTCACCTCCCTCAGCCAGCCCCACTCTACCCGTCCCAGCCACAGGGTCTTTGCACTGATCCAATCTTGGGCCAAATGCTAGTTTCAGCTCCAAAGTCATCTCCTCCAGAGGCTTTCCCTGATTCCCATTCCATCTAAAGAAGCCCCCTCCTCTCCAGGCATTCTAACAATAGTGGGCTGTGGACCAAAGAACACAGTCAAGGGTCTAGGAAGTGGGAATGTGTCCTCAGCTGTGTCTAACTCTTTTGTGACCCCATGGACTGCAGTCCACCAGGTTCCTCTGTCCATGGGATTCTCTAAGCAAGAATACTGGAGTGGGTTGCCATTTTCTTCTCCAGGGGCTCTGCCTGACCCGGGGATCTGCCTGCATCTCCTGCATTGCAGGCCAGTTCCTTATCACTTGAGCCTCTTGGGAAGCTGAGGAAAGTGGGTTGAGAGACACTTAGATCCTTGTTTCACTTACTTCCAATAGAAAGCTAATGCTCAACCGCTCCAAAATGCTCAAGATTAAAAAAATTAAGAATCCTGCATCCCCACGTCATTTTCTTCCTACCTTATCCTTATAGAAACTGTCTTTGTCATTGTTTAATTTATTTCGGCTACTCTGGGTCTTTGTTGTTGGACAAGGGCTCTCTTTAGTTGTGGTGTGCAGCAGGCTTCTCACGGCCCTGACTTCTCTTGTTGTGACACATGGGCTTAGTGGTTGTGACCTGCAGGCTCTAGAGCTTGGGCTCAGCAGTTGTGGCTCACAGGCTTAACTCTCTCCACTAGTGTCCAAGCTCTAACACAGGAAACTTGAATCTGTCATTAACTTAAAAGGAACTTAGGAGAACTTCAATTTGTTATTGTTGATCGATGAATGAATGAGCAAATGAATGGGCGGGGACAGGGCCTGGGCGGGGACAGGGCCTGGGCGTGTCCAGGAGCTCACCTGTCCATCCATCCCCAGGGACCCTCCTCTACTCTCTGCTGACAGAGCATGGCTCCCTCTTCCCGTGGAATCCCGTCCAGGCCCATGCCCTGGACTCACTCACACTCACAAAGGGTTTACAGCAGTAGTCTTTTTTTTTTTTTTTTAATATTTCTTTGGCTGCACAAGGTCCGAGTTGTGGCTCATGGTGGCGTGGAGGATCTTTAGTTGCAGCATGCAAGCTCAAGCATGAGGGGTCTCATTCCCCGACCAGGGCGGAACCTGGGCCCCCTGTGTTGAGAGCATGGAGTCTCAGCCACTGGACCACTAGGGGAGTTCCAGCAGCAATCTTTATAAAAGGAAAAAAAAACCTAGAGCTCCCCCAACTTTTTTAGAATATGTTTAACATAATATTCAGTGGAATATTACCCAGTGGTGAAAAAAGTA